CACAACACATTCTTTGGAATTTTTAATAATACCTTTTTTAGTCCAACGTTATTTAATATTTTTATTATATTATAATTTATAATAAATAAGAAAGTCTAAAATTAGAAATATCACAAAATGTAATAATAGTATTATTATTATCTTATTCATAAATATAATTTTAAATTATCTAAAAAAATTAATTAGGTACACAATTTTTAATTTAAAACAGACTGGTCTTACTTATTCACTAATATGTGTATTGTTTAAATCTTATTTTAAGAAACCGGTACTTATCCACAACCCGGCCGGGAAATGAAAAATATCGGGACTCTGTAGTAAAAACCGGTAGTGTCCCGGCGAAATCGGGACGAATGGCAACCCTATGTATATAGATACTTACTATATAGTATTAATGTATTATAGTATATACAATATACATGTACATGTATATGATCTAAGGGTGTGCCAGGCCGACACTGCATGGGAGCTAAACTAGAATAATATGCCAAAATCTTTTTTTACCATCTTGTTACCTACTTATGTAAATTGTAAATATAAATCAGATTAAATCTATATTTCTCAACTTTTTGTATTTCGGAAAAATTAACTTTGAATGTTCTATTATTATTATAAATTCTAAAAAATGTTTATTTTACTGAAGTGGTTATACTGTATTAACAATAATTGATAAATATTGATAAGTGATAACACATGCTTCAATGCTACATACTCGCATAATATGCATATTCTATTCATTATTATAAGTTATAAGTTATAACAAGTATAGTAAACCATTTTTCTGACTAATTACGATTTATTATGTTTGTATAAAAGTAGAACTGAGATACGAGTGTATTCTGAACTTAGAACTGAACTTATTATTACTTATTTGAGTTGACTTAATGTCCGGATTTTCAGATTAGAAATGGATTGTATAATGCTGTTATGGAATGTTTAGTATAACATTGCCTTTTTAATAAAAAATGATAATACATTTCTTAATAATTTGTTCATGTTCGAATTTGTTCCATTATTTTATTAATATTAATATAAATATTAGTTTAAAGTTTTTAGAATAAGTAATAATTATGATCAAGGCAATTTTGGTGTTTAATAATTACGGAAAGCCAAGACTTTCTAAATTCTATCAATATTTTGTAAGTAGTAGGTACTTAATTAAACTTAAAATAAAATATTCAGTGCATAATAACTTTTTGATTTGTTGAAATATTTGAAAATAGAATGAAGACATGCAGCAGCAAATTATTAAGGAAACATTTCAGTTGGTTTCCAAACGAGATGACAATGTTTGTAACTTTCTAGAAGGTGGAAGGTAATTTTAAAGTTTAATGATTAAATTATCAATAAACCAATTTTACTATGGTTTATTCTAAGCATATTTAATTTTAATTTTTAGTCTTATTGGAGGATCAGATTACAAACTGATTTATCGTCATTATGCTACACTATATTTCGTGTTTTGTGTGGATTCGTCAGAATCAGAACTTGGTATTCTTGATTTAATTCAAGTATTTGTTGAAACACTAGATAAATGTTTTGAAAATGTTTGTGAGCTTGATCTCATATTTCACGTCGACAAGGTAATATTATGATTAATTAACAAACAATTATTTATACAGTAAAAAAAAAATTATGATACCCATAACTATAACTCAACTCTCAATGTTCTAAAAAACATTTTTATCTTTTTGCTATAAAGTTGTTTTAATATTATTTTAAAATTTGTTGAAGTGAATTTGATGTTTATCCCATTTCACGAACCTAATATTAGTCCATGTTAAAAATACACAAAATTGCTTGTAATAATACTAGATACAACAATATTCCTAGTATAATAATTGCCATCAATGTATTTGGTTGGTATTAAATTGAATGTGAAGTATTTCTGTTCATATACAACGATAATCTGGAAATAACAATGTCATATGCAATACAATTTTGAACAAGAACCAGTAATCACATTTGTCTACAATAATCTCACAATTGTTTTGCTTTCAATTGGGCATTTTTTTCCAATTACAAACAAAGGACTATAACAGATTATTTTTTTGAAAAAATCATATTTATGTAATAAGATTCACATAATATTTCTGTGAGTTATGCTTTATGTAATATGTATGTCAATTAATAAATCAATTTATATATTTTTAAGAATAATGTCAACATTGTCAATGTTGTTTACTAGTTATAAAAAATATCAAAATTTTATAATAAGTCATTAAGATTGGGATTTAATCCACTTAAAAACTTCAAAATACATGCATTTATGCACTTAGTAATAATATGCTTTAAAAATATGCACGTATATATATTTTTTTAACTCATAATTTTCATAAATACAAATGTTTTTATATTTTATAAATTATAACTTTTACTAAATATTTATAAATAAAAACAGAAAATTGTATGTTTACTAGGGATTTGAAAAACAATACAATAATACCTAATGAAAATTCTCAAAATAAAAATAATTTATAATGTATTTATTTCTTTACTTTCAAATTATCAAATTGTATTATAAACTTATCAGTTAACAGTTATCATTAATTATCAAATATGCTCTTAATACCACAAAATCTCTAAATGAGCAAAAGTATGCTCTGTAAACCTTTAATATGTTTTTCATGGTGTTGTGAATATAATTTCAAGTTTACTTAGCTAAGATGTTTCAAATCAATAAGTTTATAAATTTAAAATCTAGTTATACTGGCTAAATAACTAATAAAGGTATAACAATTTGATTCTTTAGGTCCCTTGACCAAATCATTATTATTGAATTTGGTTATAATTTATAATTAATTTAGTGTATACAACACTTAAGCAACTTATATATTTTTTTTTAGATTCATTACATTTTAAATGAACTAGTAATGGGTGGAATGGTTTTAGAAACTAATATGACTGAAATACTTTCGAGGATAGAAGAACAAAACAAATTGGAGAAACAAGAAGTAAGACCAATTTTAATAAATTCAGATTTTTTGATAGTTTTTACTCCTAAATAATATTATTGTGTAACTTATTTAAATATTCTTTAGGCTGGTCTTGCAGGTGCACCATCTAGAGCTGTGTCTGCTATGAAAAATATGAATATACCACAACAGTTGAAAGATATGAAACTTCCAGATCTCCCTCAAGCCATTAAGGAATTAAAGTTCTGACATTCAAGGAACAAATTGGTTTGCTCTGAAGCCTATCATAACTATACAAATTGAGTATGGAAGAATGAACAAATATTTGTTATTTGCTGATTAGGACTAAAATTTAAATTTAGAATATCATTGTTCAATTCTGTTTTTGTTCTTGTATATTGTTAAATTTATTTTGGTACAGTGTAAAATTTAAATAGTTAACTGCCCATGTCAATATTATATTTGAATGTATATGAGAAATACTATTTATAATATTTCATTATTCATTTACAATTTGTTACAATAGATTTAAAAAAATATGGTTTTTATTTTTTCTGAATTTATATAAAGTTTATAACATATTTATTAATTAATTATTATGTAAAATTGGTCCGAGATTGTTAATCTTAATTGAATTAATGTTTTCATGATACAAAAATAAAACCCAATACCTAACTACAGAATTATGTGTATAAAATAACATTGAAATATTTACGATACAACATAATGGCATGTATTATAATTATTAATATATTAATATTTTTCACAAATAAAATATATACATTTTTTTAATCAAAAATAATTATAATTTGTGCAAGTTATAGATATAACAGAATATGCCTACAGGTTAGGTTGATGTACAATTAGTAATTTTGGTGGCCAAGAATTTACATTTGCAATTATAGTACCAATAGTAATTAATATAACACAAGGTGCTACAGGTTCAGTAATATACCTATCTACAGTTAAATTCTGTAAATTTAATAATAAGGGCTTCCTTCCGTAGTTATTTCAGTGTGACCAGAACAACGACGTGATAGTATCAACACTATCAACCAATTGTTGGCTGGTCTGGTGTAAAATGTTAAGAAGGCAAAGTCTTACTAACAATAACAATTAATAGTTAGTACAGGATATGAAATAGTTTTGATTTTTTTAACGTCCACAAACCGCAATTAATATACTTTTCTCACGATCCTTTCTGTGTTGCGGATAAACCGCTACAGTTATTCAATTGCGTGAGACCGTTATGTGTATGATACTAAAATTGGTCTATTGTAGTTCAGATGTCCGCTGATGGTGTAGTGTTTCTCTGGTGATCGAAACTCCGAAATTTGTTATGTTATTTGCTCAGCGTCACGCCCTGTCCATCATTCTCGTATTGTTTGTGGTCGCCCTTTCAAGTGGCCAGGATTACAGGTACCAAACATACAATGGCCAAAACTATCCGCCCTCGCAAACAGCATATGATCGGAATCTGCCACAATCGGCTAACCCTTACAATCCACTACTAGACCAATACGGTCAACAGAATAACTACCAGAATCGGTTGCCATACAATCAACCTGGTCGTCCTGGAACTCCGTCGTATCGACCCAATGGACAAAATTATGTTGTGAGTGTCAACCATGATTTTGTACTTAACAAATGTACCTTACCTAAATGTATTGTGTAATTGATGTCAGTGCTTCTTACCTAATGTTTTAATGAAGTTCTGCTATTTTTTCACTTCAACAGACTAATTGGTTAACTTTTGATTTAGGGTGATGATATGTTATTGCTCCCTGGGATACTGGGTCGGTGGAGACCAGATTTACAAGGCAAAGAGAGGACAGATTCAAAACAATTGGATAGAGACGTATTTGTATCCACAAAATATGGTCAAGTGCAGGGATTTAAAGTGCATCTGTATGACAATCCTCTACCTGAGAATGGTTATAGACCTTTTCAAACACCTGTTGAGCGAAAACAAGCTGAAGTAGCCGTGTTCTTGGGCATACCATATGCAGCGCCACCAATTAATGAAGGAAGATTTCGTGTATGTTTTACCATCAATTCTCTTGTACTCGGGAAGTAAAATTATTTATAGAATACATATGTAAATACAACTGTTTAGCCACCACGACCTCATAAAGGTTGGCAGTTACATCAAGCAGTTGATTTTGGATCTGCATGCCCACAGCCAGCCATTTACACTGGTATTACCAAAGGCGTGCCAAAAGTAGATGAAGACTGTTTATTTTTAAATATATTTATGCCATCGGTAAACAAAATACTCATTTATTGCAATAAATTGTTCAATATTTAATATACAATTTATTGGTCTTTTTAAATTGTATGATCACAGACGGGTGTGGCCCCAGCTAAACCTTATCCAGTCATGTTTTACATACACGGTGGTGACTTTGTACATGGATCATCAAATTCTTTTCATGGACATATGATGGCTGCATTTTATAATGTTGTTGTTGTTGCTATCAATTATAGATTAGGAGCCTTAGGTAATTAAAAAAATCAATGTTTAAAATTGTTGAAATAATATTTTAATTTTTAAGGATTTCTGAGCACGTGTGATGACAATTCTCCTGGTAATTATGGGCTTATGGACCAAGCTATGGCTCTACGTTGGGTTTATGACAATATTGAATTTTTCAATGGTGATCGTAAATCGATCACTTTATTTGGACCGGATGCAGGTGCTGCATCAGCAGGATTGTTAATGGTTAATCCCAAAACTAGTTTTATGGTATCCAAAGTTATTGCCCAGGTAACATAATAGGTTAATTCAATTGTATTTAATTACTTGTATAATATTACTATTAGAGGTGTATAATGAATATATTATATTATGAATTATTATAATCTAAAGTAATTTTGAAAAAATGTATCAATAGGACTCAGGTATTAGATACAAAAATGGAATTTAGTCGATAGTGTTATTTCTTTTATCATTACTCTTAAGTCATTATAGTTGTATAAACATACTTGTGAATAAATTAGGTGATAAAAAATAATTATTTTATTTGAGTCATTTGTCTTATGGCTCTTACAAAATCTTACTTATTTTATCAATGAACAAATACTATTTTCAATACATACTTAGTCATAATTGATTTTGTAATTTTTTTTTTGTATTATATTTATTTTTGTGTTTATATTGCTCATAATATATACTCTATTTTCTAGAGTGGTTCAGCTCTTGCAGATTGGGCACTTATAAAAGATAGATGGAGGGCTTTAAATACGACCAAAGTGTTTGCCGCTCACATTGGCTGCAGTACTGAATCTACTTGGAAAATTGTTGATTGTCTGAAACGGGGTAGGAGTTTTTTGGAACTCGGTTCAGATTTTAAAGTAATTTATTAAACAAAAAATGTTTTAAAATGTATAGATTTAAAACTGTTCTGATTTTATTATTTCAGCCTCAAATTGGGTTTAATGCTTGGGGACCAATTATTGATAATGAATTTTTGGTGCCTAAAAGTGATTGGTATGATGGTTGGCAACAGTCAGATTGGCATTTTATTAATGAATCAGTAAAAGCTGCTATTCAGGCAGGTCATTTTAACAAGGATCTTAGGTATTTGAGTGGTGTCACCACTCAAGAAGCAGCATACATATTATGTAAGATTATGAAACTAATGTTTATTTATTATGAATCTTTATTTAAAAATAACACTACCATTTTGTTGACAGATAATAATAAAACATATACAGTAACTGAAGAGTTCTTCAACAACAAAGTTAAAGAATTGGTTCTTCAGTATAATTACACATTAAATCCATCTGGAGTTTACCAAGCTATAAAATACTTGTATACTTATTGGCCTGATCCAATTAATCCGGATTCAATAAGAACACAGTATATAAATGTATGATTATTTAAGTTTGCTTCAAATTAAATAATATGTAATACATTTTAATAAATCTAAAGTATAATTTTATTTAATTTTCAGATGTTGTCAGATTTTTTGTTTGTTGCTCCACATGATGAAATATCTAAATTGCTTGTAGCTGAAGATGTTCCAGTCTATATGTATGTTTTGAATACCACTGTAACGAGTATTCCCTTGCCTGAATGGAGACTGTACTCACATGACACAGAATATTACTTCTTGACAGGTGCACCTTTTATGGATAGTGGTATGTTGTTTTTATTTATTGTATACCTCTTTAAACCTCTCGTATTAATATTTTATTAATACATATTGTATTAATTATACCACTTTTATTAATATGTTATTTTTTAGAGTTTTTCCCTCGTATACCAGTTGTGGATAAAAGAAAATGGACTGACAATGATCGTAATATGAGCCATTTTTTCATGAAGGCTTATACCAATTTTGCAACTTATGGGTATATAATTATTTAAATAATCCAATTTTTAAGCGTAACAATAATTTTTTACACTATTGACAGACATGCATTTTTGTACCTACCATAGTTATCTTTCAATGTCCTTTCTTTTGGTGACATAATAATAATAGTATATATATTTTAGTTTATACTTTATACTCTCATAACATTTTTATCATTGTGACTTCAATGCCCAAATGTCCGAGATGAATTAATAGTTCCAGCATTACATTTTTGTGGATGCAGCATCCACCCTCCTAGACGTATAGGGCCAATCATCCCATGAAATATTGTTTTATAGATTTATTCTTCCAAAATCTGGCTCTATTTTTCGTAGTTAACAGTAACACCAAAAAAACAAGTGAATACCTATCACAAAGAAAACTGTAATTAGATTAAATTAAATTAAATAGTGTATAGTAATTAGGGATCAGAATGATAATATTATTATATTATATAATCATAATATTTTCGATAAATTATTTGGTGATAATGTGCAATAACATACGGAATAATAATTGTTGCCACAATATACCTACACGTTAAACTCCTAAACTCAATTTGTTCTCAATGGTTGTAACATAGAAGATAAAACAATATTGTTCAATGGTTATGTTTATTGGTCTGCTGCTGAGCTGCGGCTCAGGGTTCATAGTTGTATCACTTATTAGTTATTGCCACCTCTTACGGAGTGTGATACACTATATTTTTTATTATTGTATGTGTCTATGTGTGTAACTTATGTACATAATATTAATTATAGCCACCACTGATACAGAAAAACTAAATTTAGAAAATAGTAAATACTGATTTAAACAACATTGCATCATTGTATTCACATCCAACTATCATATACATATTATATTTATCAACTTAAATCAAGATATATAACTAAATTATTTATATATATCAAACATTAATTTATACTAATTCCCATTATACAAAATGAATCAATCTATTACCACCACAATAGATTATAGTAAATAATATATCTATATATATATAATAATTTAATGTGATACCACATAATATATTTTACATTTAAAATATGTAGAATTGGATATAAATGTACTGCTAACTGAACAAAATTACAAATTTAATAATTTTTTGTTTGCCATACAACTATTTTACCTTATTAAAACTTAAGGTTTAACATATTTCAATATTTGAACTTAAATTTTTGCTTTGAGAATATAATTAATCATAACATTTCAATTATTCTGTTTTAGAAATCCAAGTCAATCTCAGATTTTAGGTATACACTTTGATATGGCATTTAAAAACGATCTCAAATACCTCAATATCAATTCAACATATAATACAACTATTAAACAAAATTATAGACAAATGGAATCGGCATTTTGGTCAGAATATTTACCTACTGTTATTGGTATTATTGTTCCAACATATCCTCCAACTACAGAAGTAAGTGATTTTTAGTATTTACTAAGGTTCTGAGCTGAACAAAAGAGTGATTTGTTAAATAGTTAAGTATTTGGAAATACTATGAAAAAGTAAAATGTTACGGGATTGCTCTCAACATTGGGTCAAAAATTGTATCTCAAAATTAAATGATTTGTTATTGTCTTAAAATGTTGATACTTTAGTTAGTGATCCTCTTAATATCTACTCACTTTTTATATTAGTATTTATAGAGTTATTTTGAATTTGTTTTTAACTATTTTTTTAGTTTTGGTGGGAACCTAAAACTCCGATTCAAGTGGCATTTTGGGGTCTATCTGGCCTTAATATGATTTTAATTGCTCTGACAGTAATACTTTGCATACTGTGGTGTAATGCAAAGAAGTAAGTTTAATAATTATACTTTATTGAATTGATTTGAGAATGTCAAAAAAAATGTATACTTAATTGTTTCTTTAGAACTAAAGATCGTTATTATAATGGAGATGTGTTAGTCGTTAGAGAAGAGCCAATGGCAATGAGCCATCAAGGCATTGATAACCGTAGTGTTACCAGTAATATTTATGAATATCATGATGCACCTATTAAGACATTACATGCTTCACCCAAAAAAACAGCATCTGCTAGCACCTTGAGAACAAACAGTGCAGCTTCTATGCGAGATCATCCTATGGCCATAAATGAAAAACCTGTACCACAAACCCAGGTTTAAACTTTATTCTATTATTGATTTTAAAATAGTTTATTGATGTTGTACTTTTTAATCGTTTTATATTGTGCTAAATTTGTTAGCCTACTTGATATTTTGGGATGTTTGCATCTATGACTCCGTCCATTATTTTTTGTTTTTTATAAAAAACAAATTATATCGCTATTATGGTAGATTAGGTTTCTCTTTACAGGTGCTTTCTATCAAAAGTAGCTATTGGGAAAACAAATTAACAAAACGTGCTCTGACAATTGAGGCAATTTTTACCTTCCAATTAGGGATATATCCATGTATAAGTTTGGTTATATTGGTTTTATGTTATTTTACTTTTTATAATGAATTAATTTTGGTATTGAAACTTTTTTGACATTTAGTATAACGAGTTATACGCCGGTCAGTACAATTTCTACTACTATTAAAAAATACATTTAACTACACTTAACTCCTGGCAAAACGTGTACAAAATTTCAGGAAGATACATATTAGCTGATAATAGTATCTTTACTCTATGTAGGGAGGTAACCGCATAGCAATCAGTATAACAGCGCTTCTGGTGTTAATTTGTTTTCACAATATTCATTTGTATCATGCCGTCCATAAACTTTTTTATACATTAGAATTTATATTAGTTAACTATCCGTCCAGGGAAATATGCAAATATCTTATGTCCAAGGTAAATCTATTTGTATTAAGTTAAAATATTGTCTATAAATAATTTTATTTCAACCAAGTATTAATGTCTTGTTATGGTTCATTGTGATGTGTGATACTTAAAATTCTATACAAACATTTAATTTTTAAAATCATTTGATGATATCTTGAAATATTACATAATCGTGTTTTCTAACTTAAACCAAAATACATTTAACATTTTGTACGTCAGAAATTATTGAACTATTTTTATATTGTGCTCAATAATGATTGAATTAAATTAGTTCATTAATAAATATTAGGTTCATGATTAATTGATTGACTTTATGCTGAGTATTAGTATTTTTAAATATTTTTTTTATAATTTTCTTACGTTTTAGGCAATAAAGTTATTAATTTATTTATTAAGGTAATAGTTATAAATTACAATTTATGAATTACAGACCTACAGATTGGCTCCCAAAACCAAATTTAACTTAAATTAACTTTTTAAAAAGAAAACATATTTATTAGTTATCCTCTAAGTCATCTAATATATTATTGATTGCTAACACTTGAGCTTTTTGATTTGGCCTATGTATAAATACATTACAATATACTCTTGTTTTATTTTCATATATACTTTTATTAAGTATTTAATTGTATAAATATATAATACCATATTATATCTTTAAATGTTTTTAAAATCTTGAAAACATATTTTTGTAACACATTTCGATAACCCGACTACATTTTTGTAAACAGATATAAATTATATTTTATAATTTATATTGAGGTAAATAAATATCAATTTAGGCATTTTGAAAAGTTGGTAAACAAAATTTAAAATAATATTAAAATGTTGTTGTTTTTTTTCTTCAAATTATATCAGCTTTAGAATTATAAATTATATTGTAAGCTATATAACTCAACTAATTGTACCTTTAAAATATTTAGTCAATTGACTAATATTTATATTATTATTTGTTACCAAAAATGTGTATAGAAGTTTGAAACAAAGAAATATAAAAGTTGATTATAAGATCTCATATGACATTTTAATATTTTAAGTTATTAGTATCTTGGTTTTGTATAAAAATTATAAAAAAAATTTAAAATCCTTTATATTTGTTTTCAATGTTGAATTACTCATTTTAATATGGAATAAGTAATATAATTTAATTACGATGATTTTTCTTATAGTAGATGTAATAATATAGTTCTTGATTAGTTGTATACAATGAAAAAATTAACAGTGTGCACTGTAAAAAGTAGAATTAATTAATTTAAGTGGTTCAAGTGGTTGTATAAAAATATTCTGTTTTAATTTTTAGCAATTGTGCTTAGTGGGATTCATTTTGTCATCACTTATTATATTAGTTTATAATTGTATGTTCATTGAAAAGTTATTCAACAGTCAATACCCATGATATAATTGCAAATAGACTATTATTTGACTAATTATTTACTTAAATTTATGTAGTTTACATAATATTAATCTATTATAATCAATGAGTATGGATCAGCAAAATATAAGTTGTATATTATCAAATATGGACAACAAATCAGCTTAATAACTTCTGTCTTTAAACTTTTTATTTCTACCATTTCTTCATAAAACTATAAAATATCTTTTAAATTCAAAATCGCTTGTTTCTATTATAGAAGCTATTTTATTTACAATTATATGGATAGCAGTTTGATTTTAACCAAATACAAATTAGTTATTAAGTCTGTTTTTAATTTCTATTACTTAATAATAATATTATTGTAAAAATGATCTGATATCTTTTTCTCTGATTTCTAATTATTTATTTTATAGCCACCAATGTATTTGTATTCTTGTTAGTTGACAGAATGTAAAAAAATATTTTTTTTATTTTCAATTATTTCAATTATTATAAATTGCTTGGTTTTTATTTATTTTTTGTATGTATGATCTAGTAAATTTTTTTTTAAAAATATTTTCCGAACAAAAAATCATTACAATGTGTTCAATAATTATAGTATTAATTGTAAATTATTTTTTTAAGAAATATTTTTATATTGTTTCATATTTTTATTTTTATTTCATTAAAAACTATTTTTATATGCATTATTTATAAACGATTAATTAAAATCATAGTTATTTTTATAAAATGGTAAAATATCACATTTTTGGTTATAATTTTATGTAATTTAAATATTTTATACAAAATGATGTGTATTCAAAACTAATATATTTTTAGACTTTAGCAATAATTGTTTTTAAATTATGAAAATACCTATAGTTTTGATTTACAGGATTTGATCTTTGGTGGTCAATTATATATTATACAACAATTATTAAACATATATGGTGAGGACAATGTGTACTTTGTGTGAGCAAATTAGTTTTGCCTGGGTTTTGTGGTTGCGTTTATGGACTATGGTCATACCTATAGTATGAATATATATTTTTATCATTGCCTGTGAGCCAATTTGCTAAGATAAGTTTTATGTAAGTGATAGAAATGCAGCATGTGCATTTTTTGATTTAGAACATAAAATGACAAAGTTGTGACTATAAATATATAATCACTGGTGATGTATATAAAATTGTATTAAAAAAACCTGTACAAGTAGAGAAAAGCAAAGCGACCTAGACACCTAATGTACTAATTAAAATATTACATTAAGTCATAATAAACAATAATCAACAATAATAATACTTTCAACTGTGTTTTGGTTAGTCTATTTAGTTACTTTACTGTCATGCATGATGCATCCATTTTCCGGCTTCTCATAATAATATATTGCGATATTCTGTTTTGTAATACATTGTACATTTTAGAATAATGTCATCATCCTCATATTCGATCTGGCCAACCTTTTCATGCTGACACCATATACTCTATAGTATACCAGAGATATACTTTAATCGTATTGGTGACAGTGTACCTCGTGTAATGTGATGCAGAGTTAGCAAACTTACATAATATAATATTTTTAGTTATTTAATAAATTATGCGGGTATTACAATTAAAGCTTTACCGAAAATCAATAGACCGCTGCAGCTCCGGTGCTGGAGGTGCACTGCACTTCCAAAGAGCTCCATTATCATTTTTTGGTGGCCCTTTTAAGACATAAAGGATTTTAGTTTTTAAACCAGTTAATTGTGGTGCCGATGAAATAATAATAATCAATAATTAAAACACAGTCACAGTATAGTGGTACGTTCAGTTCGCAAGTTAAACACTATAATATTTTATATTATTACTAGCCCTCCGTGCTAGTTGTATATTATTATATTGTATTATATTTTATTGACTACACTGTCTAGTTATAGGTATGCAGTGGCGCAACTAGAGCGGTGCAAAAAGGTTTTTAGCAAACCTTGTTTTTTATATCCAACTTTTATTATTTTATTGAAATACCATGAATTGTATGTTTTTAAATCATTGAAAAATTTCCCGAAAAAATGTATAGTTGTTTGGTCTAACACTTAATACTATGTATAATCATTGGAACTTGGGAAAAAATATGTAAAAAAAAAACCAAACTAAAGATGAAAAAATCTGGGAGGCCCCAACACCATGACCAACATTTTTGAAAGTTATGTTATCATTTTGCAAATCAACTCCCCATACAGTATAAAAAAAATAAGATGGGGGGGGGACAACTTCAAGCAGCCCCCCAATATGTAGCTAGCGGTTTCAAGATACTACCAATAATTTGCAAATAATTTGCAAACATGTGCAAATTGGTTTTCATAATTTGCAAATAAATTACCCACACTGAAAAATATAAGATGGGGGGGGGGGGGGGAAAGGGGTCAACTTCACGCTACACCCCCTTTTGATCTACGAATTGAAATATGCTGCTAACATTTTGCAAATAGCCGCTAACTTATTTATAATTTCGAGTTCAAAAATCATATCCAATCATTGGTGTTTATACGTACGTATAGTTTATAGTATAATTTAAAATTATATTATGTAATACACAATTGAAATATACTACTTACAGAAGTATTTTACAGAATATATCAGGCTACTATTTAATATAAGTTTAATATAGAATAATTGTTTCTTACCCTTATAGTCTTAATACATGGTAATATTACAATAAACATAATTTAATAATTTATTTTTTAAAATTTATTTATTAATTATTTTTATTCTATATTTGTAGGAACACAACATGGGTTATTGAATATTATAAGCTCATGGCCATCAAATAAGAGCTCACATTAATTAATAACAATTTTTATTTTGTTTTGCTAATAAATAGATTATGTTTTTCAGATCTTCAAATTTGATTCATTTTAAATTTACTTTATTAATTTTTAATTATTAAAGTTAGAAATCGTGGTTCATGGTTCTCGTCATTCATTATAAAACGTCAGGTCGATGCACCAAAAACATTTTTCACCACCAGACTGTTTCAATCCTTTGCGGACTCTTTCTCATTTTGGTGCCGGATCCTGGAGTCATGTCACTTTAATAGAATTATTGGTAAAAGGAAAATTGAAAAAAATAAAATTGATTTAATTAATTATAAATAATTATAAATAAATGAATAAAATTCATTTGCCTGCGGGCTCCCGTGCTCCCCTTCCCATTTTAATTTTTAAATTTAAATTCTATCAAACTTAAAAATTATTTTAATTTGATCCATAAAATTCATTTGCCTGCATGCGCCCGTGCTCCCCTTCAGATGTTTTGTCTATAATTTAACTCTAATTCAATTTTTTAAAAACATTTTTTAATTTTTGATAACAAGTAAGTGCCTTATAAAAATCCATTGTTTCATGATCTAACCATTGTAAATGAAGCTATGAGTTTAGGAATACTGATATTGTAGACTGCAGTCTTTAATATTTGTTTTATTTGATTCTTGAGATTCATTTGCCCGCGGGTTCCCATGCCCCCTTCCCATTTTTATTTTTAAATTTAAATTCTATCAAACTTTAAAAAAAAAATATTTTAATTTGATTCATAAAATTTATTTGCCTGCGGGCGACCGTGCTCCCCTTCCCATTTTAATTTTTAAATTTAAATCCTATCAAACTTTTAAAAATTATTTTAATTTGCTTCTTAAAATTCATTTGCCTGCGGGCGCCCATGCAACCCTTCCCATTTTTATTTTTAAATTTAAATTCTATTAAATATTTTAAAATTTTTTTAATTTTAATTCTTAAAATGCATTTGCCTGCGGGCGCCCGTGCTCCTCTTCAAATTTTTTTTTCTATAATTTAACTCTAGTTCAATTTTTTAAAAACATTTTTTAATTTTTGATAACCAGTTAGTACCTACCTTGTAAAAATCAATTGTTTCATGATCTAACTATTGTAAATAAAGCTATGAGTTTAGGAATACTGATATTGTAGACTCAGTCTTTAATATTTGTTTTATTTGATTCTTGAAATTCATTTGCCCGCGGGTTCCCATGCCCCCCTTCCCATTTTTATTTTTAAAAGTTTGATAGAATTTAAATTTAAAATTTAAAATGGGAAGGAAGGGGGGCATGGGCGCCCGCAGGCAAATGAATTTTAAGAATCAAATTAAAATAATTTTTAAAAACGTTTGATAGAATTCAAACTATAACTCTTGATTTTCCGTTTATTGCGTCTTAAACCACCGTACTCATATATTTACGGTCTCAGTTTTTAAAATATTTTTTCAAGTGTTTATTTCATTTTTTGTTCAACATTATTAACACTATTCGTTTCGTGTTTTTATTTCGATATTACTTTATAAAATTTAAAAATGTATAAGTGTGATCAGTGCCCGTCAGTTTTCAAACGTAAAGACTCAATTTGGTGTTTTAATGATTTAATAATATTGCAGTAAAATGCTATACCACTAGCTGCTTATAAGACAACAAATATTAATAAACTCGTATTTAATTTAACCTTAGAAACAGGCATTAATGGTTGTCCTATTAATAATTTACTCTAATAGGTAGGTATTAGACTTAATAAACCATTAAGGGTTCGGGTCCTTGTTAATATTTAAAGTATTATATTGATTTTATATTTGAGATGGAACTAGAATTTAAAAAAAAACATCTAGATGCTTGTTAGCCTAGCTAGGGTGACCTGCAGCCATATTAAAAAAAATCGAGTAGGCAGGTAACGCTATACGCCTGTTGTACAGTATAGGTGTTGAGTGGGCTGTAACCCGATTGAGCACAAACGCAATTAAGCAATAGGAATTCAAAATACGACACGATTGAGCACAGAAATACATGCAACGTTGCAGTTTTTATTATTTATAAAATAAATATGTGGGAAATTTATTTTTTATTTACTAAATACAATATTATAATATTATTTAATATAATAGCAATCCTTCTGAAAAATGTTAAATAGTAAAAAAGTTTTCATTTAAAAAGATAAACTCGGATAATATTTGTCAAAAATTAATTTTTAACTCCTTAAAATATGCCTTAGAGAACTCTGGGATCTCTTATTCTCTTACCATTTTTTCATTCCTTAGCCGTTTTGTATTACATTTTATTTTTTGTTCATACATCAATGAAGGCTGTCACCGGTGGTGTATGTAATTACTGGATTTTATAATATTTTAATTTTTTTTAACATTTAAAAATTTATTTGCTTTAGGTAACTTCTAGGATATTTTCCTATTTTAAAAACTATAGGTTTTAGAAAATTCCTACTTCTGACTATACATGATTTTAAATTTTGTTATGAAATATTAAGTACCACTAATATTAAGTTTATTCCTTCATAAAACATATTTTAATGCTATTATAAATAAATGCTCGAAGAAATAGGCTTAATGTTATGTTTACACCAAAATATATTTCTGTTGATTTTAAAAAAGCAATTAGTTTAGTAGTCAACGGAGTTGAGCCTTTATCAAAAAATTTTGATTGAGTAGCTCGGTACAGAATAACTGAACGTTTTATTCAATGAAATGAGTACAAAATAACACTAGGTACCAAGCATTGGCATATGGATTCAAAATTGAAAGTGAGCACATTTAGGTTATTATTTTTTTAACCCGATCAAGTATAATGACTGTATTATGACTTCTCCACTCTTCAGGATTAGGTAAATTAATTATTTAGTAGTCAATTATTATATGTAAAAGACGGTGTTTAATACTCTAAAATATGGGTGTTTCAGCTAGACAGTGTTAATAAACAACAAATGCTTGTGAATAATTTCACTCGTATTTTAATAAAAAATTGTCTTTCAATCCTCTGTCAATACTGAATTGGTTAATCATTGTATGAAATGACGTCTGAAATGAAACTTATATAATATGCTGTAATCATATAGTCAAATCAGGCTTTTATCAAATGCTTAAAAAAATAGTTGAAAATAATTTTTTTGATTCTTGAACTACAAAATATTTTGCAAACTATCGTGATTTTAATGAATTTCGTAAACATTTGAATTTACAACACTTAAGAAAAATTGTTTTTATGTATTTTCAATATTTTTGAAATGCTATAAGAAAAATAATGTGAAACATTGTAGTACAATTTTTAGTTTATTGACAGTGCAAAATGTTGTTATTTACATAAAATATAAAAAAATGGAAAATATTTGACAATTTTAAATGCCTGAAAATACCTTAGAATGAGTTAGGATTTTGTAATTTTCATTTTTTATGTGAAATGATAATTAACGTAATAGAGAAATATTTCAAGTTTCTATGATTTATATTTTACGAATAATAAAATAATAACAAGCATTGTTTAATGATAAGACGTTAATATTATACATTTTTGTAAAAATTATATAACCCCGTTGTAGTAACACAATTTTTATGACACTGCGGTATAGATAATCAAATCAGATACGTAAGTTCTAAAAGCTTAGAAACTAATCATTCTAATGTTTTGATTTTGATGAATACAAATTTAAAAAAATCATCGTTTTGTCTCTATCATAATTTTTTCTAAAAGCCCATTACTTTTGATATTTATAATATTATATAGTATAATATACCTATTTATAATATAATAGTAATATACAAGCTTGTTTTTACTTGCCCATCCCCAAAGATTAACTCTTAAATTAGACTGGATGATTTACTTATTCTGATTTCCTTTTCTGTTCTGAACCAAGCCAAATGGCAAATGGTACCATACTACCATGTCAGTTACAGTTGTCAGTCAAATTTAGTTATCGGCGATGATTTATTATTATATTTTTTTTAATTGTATGTTTGTCACTATTAGGATTATTATAATTATTTTGGTCACGCCAGGAGTTAATGTTATATTGTTGATGTTTTTGTTTTATATTTGTGTTGAACTTATGGCTAGTGACAAAGACAAAATAATTTATATTTGTTTTTTGGATAATGTAGAGGGATAAAGTTTTTCACATAGCTTACTGTTATTTTGAGAATTTTGATTGGACAGCACGTCAGAAAGGTCAAATTTTAGCCCAGTTAAGACTAGTTTGTCTACGATTGCCCGTGATTTTACGTTTCTTGTTCTTTCTATACCTCACTGTGTGGAAGGAAGTAGTCTCATTGTGGTCACGTTATTTTATTATACGCTGTATAAAATATTTATTCAAGTTACATTATTAAACTGTTATTATAGGTATGTCAACTCAAATGTAATTATAAATCTATTCGATACCAGTACTTATAATAATTAAATAACTACATTTTGATGTTCCTAGGCTTTTTTATCGTCTGGTTTATTTGTTTTTATTTTCTTTAAGGTAATTTTATATTGTTACACTACTTACGTAATATCAGCAATTTAACATACATGAAACATTTGTAAACTAAGTCACTTTAGAGATGAACAGCACAATTTCTGTTACATGAATTAAAATTAAAAATACCTAATACAAGTTAAATTCCATCCAACACTTGAGGCTTAATATTTATTGTGTCATCTTCGTTCATCACTTAAATTTTTAACAAACTTTCAATCAGAAAATCACTGTTAAGTAATTGGTATCTAACTTGTTGTTTATTTCTGTTTTAGATAGATTATTTTTGTATAATATCTAATTAATACCGAAAATGGATTCAAAACAAGAAAAACAATATATTTTCAATATGAAGTTAGCAAGAATTATATGCTTGTATCAAATTTTAATTCCAAATTCTACTTCAATTTTTGGTTATAACATTTATCACATTGTTATCGTGATTTTTGGATCATTCATGTTCGCCATATCGATGTTGTTTCCAATTGGTTTGCTCTATTTAAGGAATGATATAATTGCGATTATGTACTACATGGGATGCATAAGTAATTTCCTGTTATCCAGTTTCAAAATGGGTAATATTCTTTATCATGCCAAGGATATATGGAAATGCATTGACGTTACAAGCTTTAACTATATTTCGTACAAACACTACGATAGAAATGTATTTAAAAACTGGCAAACACGGTCTATACGAATTACTTACATTTACATTGTAATAGCGTTATCCGCTTTTTTCTGTTGGATTTTTAGTCCAAGTGTTATGAATAAATCTATTATTACTATAAGAAATATTGACGGTTCATACAGCAAATACCGAATGAATATTTTTAATATATATTTAATAGCATCGCATGAAACGTATAACAAATACTTTTACATATTTTATGCTATCGAAATAATAATTAGTATTTGCTATGTATATTTTACTATAGTATTTGATGTTCTCATGCTTTTGCTATGTTTTGCAATATCTTACCAACTGGAAACAATTAGTAATACAATCAGATCACTTGGCCACGAAATATGTACACGGGATAATTTCAGTGCGTATGAGGTTTATTTTTTACCATTTAATACAAACTAATTGTAATTATTATACAAGTAACATAGTATAGTCATATAATATTTTGCAAATATATTTTTATTGCAATCTATACTATCGGTATATCGGTATAACGATATATTTTATAAGGTATTAGACACGAGTCATTATAAGTAGTGTATTCATAATAATTGTATAATTTTCACAGGGACACTGCATGAGAAACACGGCATAATATATAATGATTTAATAACGATAATGACAGACCATCAAAACGTTCTAAAGTGAGTGATATTTTTGTTAATAATTTAAATATAACGGTGTATTTTCAGCTCATGATTCCAATAATTCAAACCAAACCGCAGTTATGTTTTTTAACTAAAAATACTGATGGGTTCGAGAGACCAAGAGCTACATTATTTCAAATATTGTTAGTGTCTTAAAAATATTTTATTAATCATTTGTTTTGTTTCTATTTCTTACAGAAAGTTAAACGATTTTTATAACATATTTCGGTCAATAACGCTAACTCAAATATTCATAGCTTCAAGCTCACATGTATTTATTTGGTTTATTGCTGCAATGGTATGACGTTCAACTATATAAAAATTTTTCTTTAAGAGTATATTATCATATAATAAATGATATTTTAGGTATCTTCAAACTAATTTTTAATGTTTTTAAAAAATAACTGTATGCCGTGAAGTTTTTTCTAGTATTATATTTTATATACATTTTTATTATTTTTTCTTTTCCTTTTTAAATTATACCCATTAAATTAAATTTATAGATAATTAATATAATCTATTGTTATAAATTGAAGTAGAATTACTGTAGTATTATAGGACTTAAAAATTGTAAAACATTTATTTAGTAGAGAATTAAATCATTGAGTGGGAAATCATAAAATTGAGACATATTTATAGTCACATTGGTAGTAGTTAATTGAAGGAGATCCCTTTAACAGATTAGTTTTAAACAGATATTTTTATAGTGATCTACTGTTACAGAGTCGAGTGTTAACATATTTTCTTGTTTTATTTTTGAAGATCATACTTCGTAATTATGTTAGAATTGAATGAAATACAGATTTTCTGAATTTAATACCTATTATCATATCATACAATATGTGTGTGAATAAAAAGTAGGTGAACACTAAACAGTAAACATAAATGTATGATTTAAATTTTTTAGAGTATTGATGAAGGTGATAATGCAGATTCAATTTTGTCATTTAAGCTATTCATTGTACTCCCTCTGATCAATTTTCAACTATTTATGACTTGTAGTTTATTTGGAACTATACATGAAAAAGTAATTATAAAGTTGCTTAATATATTCTTTTAAGTTTGTTTTATTTTAAGAAGTTCTTATTTAAATATTTAATAGAGACTATATTAGTATATATAACTAATACAAATTCCGCATGTATGCATGCATTTGATTTAATCTAAAATTAATGTTTTGCTATTCAGAAAGATTCAATCATTTTCGCATTATATAGCAGTAATTGGACTGATATGGACTTAAAAAGTAAAAAGATGATTCTGTTTAATTTGACATTAAATAATGCCAACCAGTTAAAAATGAAGTATACAAATACGAAAATCGTTAACTTGGAAATGTTTAGTCATGTAAGTATAATAATAACAACAAAATATGCAATAAAATAAAATAATTTGTCTTATATTTGTATAATTATGAAAGGTTGCTAGAAAGTCAAGATTCGAGTTTTTTTTTTTAGTTAGAGAATAAATATTCTTTTTTGAGTTCTTTATAGGCATTTTAAATTTTTGATTTATGTTGAAAAAATTTTAGTTTCTACGTATTAAAGCTTGAATATTTAATTCAAGGTTGCTAATATTATTATACATATTAAAGTCACATTTTTTTTTAGAAAACCCTTTGAATCTCAAATGTTGTTATTATGATTAGAAACATGTTTCCGTTTTTTGTTACCTATAAGGTATGAGCATAATAATATAAATTATTCCATTGAGAATATATTTTTTTTTGCAATACATACTCAATGATTATACATATTTAAATAATTTTTAGTATTAAAAGTATTTAAGTAAAATAATAAAGTCAATACATTTATACAAATAATCATATTTTAATGAAAATGTGACAGGAAGCTTATATAATTATTGGTATTGACGTTTAATTGTTATGTTGGGTAAATTTTTAAACCAGTTGATTTAACAAATACTTACATTTAATTAATATAACATTATATTTTTTACAGACGATGCGTTTTTGCTATTCAATATTTTCAATGTTAATTAATTATAATAAAAATAAAATGAAATAGAATTTATTTGTTATGTAATTTAATTTATGATTTGTTAAAATATTACTTATTAAATAATATTTATACTGTTTTATTTGATTGATTTAATTTTTATGTGTACATTATTATTTTTAGAATCACATAATATTTAGTAATTTAGTTTAAATTAATTTATATGGTAGGTATCTAATTGATTATATAATCTGTTATGTATAATATTATGTTTATGGTTTCTTGCTTAAATTATTTTATCTATAATTAACTCATTAATATTTAGAATTATTAGTAAGACATTAATTTTATATTAATTTTTTTTTTAAATAATGGCATGTAGAAACACTTGTAATCAATAACATTACATGATACTAATTAATTAAACATACATTTTTTCTTTCTATTTTATTTGCAAAATTGGTAATTGTATATGATCAATATTCAATTCATTGGCACTGATTTTTATTTTGGTTTTTTCTAGATATTCTTTCATCAATAACACTTATCGTCTAGTCAATTAAGACTTAACATCAGTATTATAAAATTAAATGAATTCCTAAATTCATAACATGACATAATTACATCTTCATTATATTTAACTACATTTATTCGTTTTTAAAAGTCAAAATTCTTTGAAATATTCTTGTAACTGAAATATAGCAGTATCAAAAAGGGGCAAAATATTGCAACATGAAATCGTTTTCAACTTCATCTAACGATTTTTACATTTTATCATTATCAATATTATCATTTATTTATTTATTTATTTATTTCATATTGTTTCTTTGAAAATTAGTAAATTTGTTTTTCGATTTCCCGACGGGCGAGTCGATATTATATTATTGTTGATAATAGAAAAATAAAATAAAAATCGTTCTGATTTTCAGTCCATTGTTATTATTTAACAGCGGCACATGTTTTCCTTCTGGTTGTCGCGGCACTGCCTTTGATTGGGCCAATCACTGTATTTTTATAGTCAAACTATACTTGTATAGAATTTTAGGCTTCTCATTGTTTTGGTTTAGTTCCTACCTAATGAACAGATTCCATCTAGTAAAAGTAAATTAATTTTTGTCTGGCTGATTTCATTCTCTCTTCGGTGTTCCCCAGGGAGGGAACTTTTATTGTTTGTCATTTTATTCACGAATATAAGTCTGTGCTTCATATTCTGTGATTATCAACTCTTTGCTGATAACTCTAATACGCTAATAATGCAGCGTTTTCCAAATAGTGGGTCGCGACTCCCTACCGGGCCATGAAAATTTAATACCGGGTCGCAGAATTTAATGAAATTCTCATATTAAATTTGTTATTTATCATTTTCGTTTGATAATTTAAACTATTAAGTATGAAGGTGAAGTCAAAGAGACGAGAGAGATGATTCAAATGTGTTTTATTTTGACGTTTATTACACAATGATAAATGCAAAATATTTTGGTGGGTCACGAAGGTGAAAAATATAAATTACTGGGCCAGCCCAAACAAGAGTTTGGGAAACGCTGCGCTAATGTATCATCCAGTAAAGACTCTGGTAAAATGCAAGAAAATTGTAATAGGCTTTGAAATGTGTTAAAATTTTGTTTTACAGTTCTATTAAAAAATTAGATTATGACTTATGAGTACTTTATTCTTGGTGATCGCCTTTGAATAAGTTAATGTGTTAGGGGTCTTGGGGGTCATATTTTAGCATAACCTTATGTTTTTCTCTTATAAAAATCAAATTTGCACTACAATTAGGAAATTTTGGATTTTTTGGTTTTCCAATTAGGAATATAAAAAAATAATTCAAGGATGAAATCTGTGTCAAAACATATCACATTCATCGCCAATAGGCTTTATTGAATCATTAGAGTGTGTTCAGTATGCATTTCGTGACGATTTTTACGTTATATTGGCTACAAACGACAATGAAATACTGGTGACATTACTTCGTCTTTGTTTAGGTACATGCTTAAAAATAGTTCAAGTGAGTTTTAACTTAGAATGTCTGAATAGTGGATACTATATAATATAATAGGCTCACTGACATTTAATTCATGTCTAAGCTTTTAACCGGAACTACATCTTGTCCTAAGTTACTGGGATTTGTGCAATTTCACGTCCCTAATTATCAGTATCGTTTTTGTCCAACTTTCTCTAAAAACCCACTCATGATATGGATATAATAATTTTATACATCGTAGTTCTCGGGAATCGCGGGAATGCAACAAATTAAATAATGTCGATACATTTAATTAAAAAAGCATGTTGTCCCTAAAGTAATTATATTAAAATTCCTTCATATGTACCAACCGATATTTTACTTTTAAATTTGTTTTTAATAGTTATACTTAATTAAGTCTATTTCATGTTCTTTTATGTATATAATGTATTATTATATTGTATATTATGCACTGTGATTGAGGCCCACACAGGCGTTTAATTAAATTAAATAAAAATAAATATCAAAATTTTTTTGATATTGCACGTTGTTAGTTGATGCCTCTCTTTAATTAACTTAAAAACAAGTGATTTACTTAAACCTTAAAGTATATTGTTTAAGTGAACTGAACTATAAGAAGTGGCTTCATTTATAATCATAAACCAATATTCGTATGGCTATTAAAAATGTCAGGTGCTTCTTATTATATTATAAACACCCAATTTGTCTTGGTTCCTTTCTTCTATCCATTACAAATACTGTTGAAATATAACTTAATTTAGGAATATAAAAAAAATAATGTATTTTTTAAGAAGCAAAAATATATTTTAAAATAAAGTTTAAAAATTGATTTATCGTTCTTTTTTAAATGTTGATTTAATTAATTGTTCTAGTTACAAAAACTGTTATTTAAAACTTTAAAAACAAAACGAAAAAAAATTCTTGTTTAGTTAATAGTTAATGTAAACAGTGCTAGCGTGATTCAAATATGCATTGGTGTTTTACTCCACCCATTTTTCATTGTCAATCGAACTCAAAGTTTCTACTTTATTAAAAAATCATAACCAACTGTAGTGCTTTTAAAATTCAAAAACATAAATACACCTTAATGGTATATCTAATGTAAAATACTTGGGATTTTTATGTTGTGGATATGGTTTTTTTGGAATTTAATTATTAAACTGTTTATTCGTTTTTATTAAAGTATAAGAGAAATTATACTATTATTAGGTAATAGGTATATTACAATGTAATAATAATTGATCAATGGTCGTGTATAAAAAATGTGACAGATTTGGAATTCACAAAACTTAACCTATATATCAAACTTACTAGATACGATATATTTGTGAAATTGTTAAGAACGTGAGCTATGTTTGGAACACGAAAAAAACGTTAACTACTTAAGAATATACAAACAAATTAACAATTTTTTTATGTGTTAAAATTTTTTTTTTAAACAAACACTATGTTACTTTGATTCAACTATTATCAGCAGATATGAAAAACCTTCGTTTTGTCTATTGTAGATTAAATTTTAAAAATACGATGTGTAGTATGTGTTAACCTACTTAAGTAAGCTACAGATGAAAAAAATATAAATTTTAGTTATGACTCATGAATAATAAAGTGTGAATAGGATACAGTTCCGATTATGCACCATAGTTCATATTTAAAATATACAATTTGGGTTCTATCAACAATGAAAAGATTTTTATAACTTTATGCTTTAATTGTTTTATTTTTGCTATAGGGTTTACATGTAAAATTAAAGGGCGTGTGTTACTAGGGTACAGTGAGACATGTTCTACAATGAGACAAGTGAACTAAATCATATTTTATAATTGAAAGATACTATATAGCTATAGATAATTGGTTGATATTTGGAGCCTTGGAGATAGTGTTATAAATTGTTACCTCCAACAAATAATATTGTTTTCATCATTTTTGGCTGATAACAGTTCAAAATAACGATGTTTAAAAATAATAAAACAATCTTAAAAAGTTAAAATGGTTTTGTTTGTGGTTAATACTTTAATTTTATATGGAAAATAACATCATAGGATAGTTTATAGCATCATTGTGGACCTAACCGGGTCTACAATGAGATACTTTTCATTTTTCTAAAAATTAATTTTATTGAATTGTTTAAACAGTTGTTTATAATGATCTAATGTGATGCTATAATGACTCCTGTATGTTCTTGATTCGTTTAGTATAGATCGACCACTTTTCTATTAATAGTGAAATACATAATATCATAAACAATTGTTGTCTTTGGATCATTATTGGCAAGTATTACAATACAATAGGTTGGATTAATTTTTGGGAAACAATACATTTGAAAATGTAATTGTGTGAATAAAATGTACAGGGTGATTTTTTAAGCGGGCACACTCTATTTGTATGCTTAAATTATGCATATATTCAAATTCTGATTTTTGGAATTCTTAACTACCTACTTGAAGACCATATTTTCGAATACTTATGATTTTTTGTACCACTGTAGCATAGAACAATATAGAAGCGTCACTCGATCAGCTGATCGGGTTCTCGTTTACCTATGATCTGAAGTCTGAACCTTGGAAACGAGTTTTTTCGCCAACATGATATTAGACCCTTGTTTACCCATATTCAGGAAACGTTTACTGCCACAAACGCGGGGTACGCTGCTCGTGGTAGGCTTGTTTACAATTCCCTATTTCACGTATGTCAAGACGGTGTTGAAGTCCACAATCTCCCGATTCTGCCAATTCACACAGTGTCACGACTCATGACTGAAGGTATAAACTTTTGTTTTTCAAATAGAAATCCTACTTCTTCACTTTAAATTATTCAGCAGATATTTTTTTGTTGGGGATTTTGATCAATTGTTTTTGAGTTGTATAACTTAGTTTACTAAGGATAATATGTCTATGGTAATGTGTTAAGTAAAGATGAAGGCTCATGTGGTTTGCAAATATTAGTAACTACTATTGATACACCAATATTAATAATTTTTTAAAAATCATCCTAGTATATTAAAGATTACTTATTATAGTTTATATTTAAGTAAAACCATTTATAAGGATTATTATCTTTTATATAAACATTTTAATAACTCAGAAACTATTCATTGGAATTTTGATTCAGATATATCGAAATTTAAAAAAAAACTATTTTCTAAACAATTTTCAGTTAAAAATGGGGTTCTCTTTTGAAAAACAGAAGTTTGTATCGTCACATGACACTCTTTAAGTAATATAAAAAATACCAGGAATTTGAATATATTATGGTCTTCAAATATACTTAAAAATTCTAAAAATCAGTATATGAATAAGTGTACTATTAAAAGGAAAAATGGAAGTGAGTGCTTAAGCATGCTTAAAAAAATCACTTTACCCTAGATATTTAAACGAAAAATAACGATTTTAATAATTTATTAATTGTTATAATTCCAAAATATAATTCATGGAACTAGAAACATTTAATTATATATTATTATATTTTAATACACACAATGACATTTTAAGGCTGTTGAAAGCAAACCATTTATAAGGGGTTGGATTTAGGCAATATCCTATACTCTATAGCCATCGTGAGTGATATGCGTGACTGTGTGTGCAGTGACTGATCATTAGTGTGCGTGAGTTCCCCGAAAGCTTTATGTAATTAAAGATAAACTACGGCAAAGATTCTTGGTAATTCGTGACGTACCTACATACTCACGGCCACACGTCACTATATTTTGCGATCAAAAAAGTTTCAACATGAAAGTTCCAAAAAGAGGTAGAAGTATATATATTTGTCTTCCTCTTATTGGTCTAAAAGAACGAACAACGACTTGCTTTCAACAGCCTTGAGCTATGCATACTAATTATTTACCATGAAAATATTCATTGAATTTTATTATTAATATAATTTGTTATTATAATATTATAGTACGTAGTAGATAGACATATAAAAATAAACGCATGAAGTAGAAGATATTGAACATTTTTTTACTATTCGATGTAATTCTGGTAAAGTTTATCATTTTAAATTAATAATTTATAAACAAATAATTTTAACCAGATTTTAGTTTATTTTAAGAAAATCATTGTGGCATATAATATATTGTATTGTCAGTTATGATTTTATGAATCCATTACTGTAGGTACATAATATATTTCAACATTTTTAAAGTTCATATTTTGTTCATAATTCATATTTGATCGTGTCTTGTCATATTATTATATAAATATATATATATGATTTTTGAATTTGATTTTCACTGACATTCAGTAATATTTTTATGTTTGAAATGATTTTAAGAGGATTTGTAAACATATTTACCCTTAGAAAACAAAAATAAATCATTGAAGACATATATGGGGCTGAATTTTAAATAGGTGTGTACTATGTTTATGAATTAATATTTAACAAAATAAAATACATTTCATTAAGAAAATTACGATGGCGATCCAGTAATATCACACGTATATGTTATTTTTACATGAAGGATTAAAAATCTATACCTTGGCAAATATTTGAGATAATTTTTCTTCATTATTTTTTCAAAGATCCATCTCTTTATTTAAAATGTCTAAACGAGAAAACTACTGTAACACGAACATTTTATCACTCCATGAGCAATGAGCACATAAACCAGACCTAAAGGGCGATTCTTCTAAAAGAAAACACTTAATTTCTCAAAATATAATAGCATTTTTGCAATATTTGTATAATTTTATAATATGATAATGACAGAATTACAAATAGAATCTTAAGGTTATTAGAAAAAAAAAATATAAATATAAAATCAAAATATTTTGAAAATTTTATCATTCACAGAAAATTTTAATACAACCATTAAACAATTTTCAATTTTCAGAGTGCCAACTCAATGTACAAATGTAATAACTGACATGTATAATGTAAACATCTTACGCTTGGGTGGGTGGGACACCTCAGATAATACCTCCCACTCGGGACTGCACTTCTTGGAGCTTGATTAAAGGGTAGCTCACATATTTTCAGCTCACGAATAAAGAATATTTTATTAGTTTATTTATGGGGTTGCCATTGGTTACAGATAATAATAATAATAATAATAATAATAATAATAATAATTTTGTTACCGGCAACTTCGGGTAGGTCTAGTATAATATAATTCAGTTAAAGAAATACATCTACAATTATATATTGTAGTTTTTTTTGTCAGCAGTATAATATAACATAAAGAATAATATTGCAATGAATTTAAATACATTGAAGTTTACAAGACTTACGGGCTTATATCATATTTTAAATCCTAACACAACAACATTTTGTGGTAGCAACATATATCACATTGTTATTGTGTTTTTTGGATCATTCATGTTCACCATATCGATGTTGTTTCCAGTTGGTTTGTTTTATTTAAGAAATGATATAATTGCGTTTATGTACTACATGGGCAGCATAAGCAATTTATTATTATCCTGTTACAAAATGGGTAATATTCTTTATTATTTCAAAGATTTATGGAAATGCATTGCCGATACAAGCTTTAACTATATTTCGTACAAACACTACGACAGAAATGTACTTAAAAATTGGCAAACACGGTCTCTACGAGTTACCTACTTTTATATTGTAATAACTTTATTCATTTTTTTTTGTTGGATTTTTAGTCCATGTGTTATGAATAATTCAATTAGAAATATTAGAAATGTCGACGGTTCATACAGCAAATACCGAATGAATATTTTTAATTTATATTTAATAGTGTCAGATGAAACGTATAATTTGAATTTTTATATATTTTATATCATCGAAATAATAATTAATATTTGCTATTTATACTTCACACTTGTTTGCGATATTCTTATGATTTTGATATATTTTGAATTATCTTCTGGAATGGAAACAATTTGTATTGCATGTGAATCACTGAACTACAATACAATATGCTCAAAAGAAGATTTGAGTGAGTACCTAACTTTTGTTTCGCTTAAGAGGACGTCGTGTCGTACCCTATTGTGTGTCTCCGTCGAATTAATGCAAAACATACCAAAATGTACTTTCAGCAATTCCAATTTTGTGAAATGTGTTGTTATCATAAATATTAGACTGAATTGATTATTATAAAACTTTAAATAAGAACGTTATCTGTGATGTTCGTGTTTAACGGCTCATTATATTTTAAGCGAACTCGAGCATTTTTAAATATTAATATTTCACATATTCATAACTTGTTTAAAATTAAAATATGGTAAAAAGCCAAAGATGAAATTTAGGTCATGTTCGTACATCGGAATTTGATAATAGGTCAATTCGCTATAATATTTAAGCTTAACACATACAATTGGAACTGTTAAACGGACAATTTGGTATTTATGCTATGTTAGTAAGACGGAGAATACACATTCAGAGCTAGGTACTCAATATTGGAAAATTATCTTATACGATAGGATAATAAGTAATGTAAGACTCTTTGTCTGAATTTTTGTCTTTATCAGAAATATTCTATTGCTAACACGCTGAGTGTTTTTAATAGTATTTCTGTACTTACACAATTACATTTTCAAAATATTTAAACTAATTTAAAGTTCATTTAAAGGCACATACATTTTTTAGTTTTTTTAAAAATTAAAAAAAAATTTTAAATGCAATACAAGATCTCAAATAAGTTCTTGTAACCATTTATAATGACTAAAAATGTATTGGAACATGCAACACCTATTTACAGACATATATTGTACACTGACTACATTTTAGTCTGTCAGTACCTACCTCATTTACCACCTCGGTACATTTTAGTAAGAAATGAAGAAGTAATTTTAATATCATATATTAAGAAATACAAATTATATATACAATTAAATATCAAGTAATTTTGTGATAACATACATGTTTACAGACACTAGTTTCGATGTAACACATTTGGAAAAAAGATTCGATGCATTGTATGATGATTTAAAAATTATAATTACAGACCATCAAACTGTTATAAGGTGAGTTATGTTTTTTCCATATAATTCATTTAATTCAAATACGTTTTATTGTTTTAAGTTTAATAAAACTATACGGTTTGTTTATTACTTATTGTATATATCATGTCATCATTACTTAACTGTACTCTCCGATGTAGCTTTAAAGATATACAAAATAAATATTTTTACAATAAATAAGGGTACAATAAATTATACCACTCAATTCTATTTATTATATAATTTAACCAATTTTAAATTTCAAAAACTAATAATTTTGTTTTTAATTCTTATAGAAAATTAAAAGAATACTGTACGATATTTCGGCCAGTAGCTCTTTTTCAAATATTCATAACGTCAAGTTCACACATAGTTATTTGGTTTGTTGCTGCGATGGTAAGATAAATGCAATTAATTAACTTTTTTTATGAACTTACATATTGTCTGTATTAAGTAAAATACAAACTTATTAATCTTACTATTTTGTGATCCAACATTTAAAAATTAAAAGTTATAGAATCTATATTTAAATAAATAACATATTATACCTAATAATTACTTATATTTAATTTTTAGAGTTTTGGTGAAAATGACTTAGGAGATTCTACAACCACATTTAAATTATTTACTGTACATCCTCTTATTAGTTTTCAACTATTCATGACGTGTTGGTTATATGGATCTATAAATGAAAAAGTAATAATAATGTTGTATTTTTTCGCTTTATTTTGTTTTACTGTAAAATATATAGGTATTATCAATTTATGAAATCAATTAGTAATTTATCAATGTATCAATAAGTATCATCAAAAAAATAAGTAAATATTATGATATTAAATAATACAATTTATTAATACTATCAAATTTTTATAACTATGACTTGACTATTTAAATGGTTTGCTTAGTCAATTGATAAATATTAAACTTAACAATTTGTTATAGTTGTGATGAATAATTATAAAAACGTACTTATGAACTAAAATGCATCAATATCTTGCTTTATTTAATTTAAATTAACATAAAATACTATATGTAACAACAATTTTAGTAAATATAGTAATATTAAATATATTTATGTTATAAATAGGTGCCAATAGGTACAAGATAAGCGTTTTTAAATTAGACTAAAAACTAATGTCTTATTGTTTAGAAAGATTCCATCATTTTCGCATTATATAGTAGTAATTGGACTGCAGTGGACATAAAATGTAAGAAGTTGATTTTATTGGCAATGAAAATAAATAATGCCAATCATTTAAAACTGAAGTTTACAAACACCAAAATTGTGAATTTGGAAATGTTTACACAGGTACATTGTACATATTATTATATTATATACGATTATATAAGATTAAATTTGTTGTAAATTAATTTGAATGTATTGACTACTTGAAACAGAATAAACAAAATTAAAAAGTCCATGCCAAAGTAGTACTGGTTGAAATTCTAGATATGTGAGAATCGAATTAATGTAAAGTGGGTCAATTCGAGGGGTTGATAAACGATAGTATATCATATACGTAAGTGGAGGAACTGCTTATGTGTAGTGTTTCATACTTATTGTATTGGCAGTAACTAGTGGATACTAAGGTATCGTAGTTGATGTATTCAGTGCCATATTATGGATAGGAGGTCAAGAATAAATTAAATTAAGTATTTTATAGTTTTCATATATGCATAATATAAATGCGTTTATAAGGAAAAAAAATGTCAATGAGCTGGGGGGGGGGGGTTATAAACTCCCTGAGCTAGCCCTCCAAGCTAATACCCAGGCTACGCCACTGGACGTTCTATAAGATATTATTTTTCTCCTTTTCTCTGTAAAAACGGGCCATTTAGGTCCATTGCCCGCAGCAACCACTTTCTTCCATCCATCTCTATCGTGAGCACGTTTCTCTTCATTATTCTCTCCTAACCTTGATGTATCTTTCATACTTCTGTCCTTTCAACGCTATCTGGGTCTTCCTCTCGGTGTCTTTTTATGTTAGGTTTCCATCCTGTGGTCAACCCTAGGGGCTTTGTGATCTCCACACATGCCCAGCCCATCCCTACTGCTTTTAAGGACTCATATTATAATTGTTTCGCCATACAGTTCTTTATTTCTTGGTTTTAGGACCAAATATTCGTATACGGAACTTTCGTTTAAATGTACCGTTTAAATGGTATGTAATGCTATCGGTCTCCCTAGAATTTCGTATAGCGTTATTTTTATTCTCTATGATAGTGTCTTCGATTTGAGTAGGGGTATTAGGCCAAAGTAACCTTTATTTGATCTGAAAAGCTTAATATCATCAGCAAATATGAGAAGTTTGCTATGCTTAATCACATCTTTGATACCATTAACAAAAAAAGCAAGAAGGAAGGGTGAAAGATGCCCTTAATGAGTTACACCTGAGGATACATTTACTGGGCTCGAGCAAAAAATATAAATCCTGACAAGCGGTTTCCTCTCAGATAAATAGGAACGGAACCATGCCATTAGAAGCTCGCTAAACCCAAGATGTAACAAAACTCTAAGCAAATCACGGTGATTCATGCTGCCAAAAGTCTGGGCGAAGAACAAATAAATGAAATCAACATGTGAAGGCTTGCTAAGACGTACTCAGTAAAAATTTAATTGCAGATCGTAATTGAACGCCCAAATTGGAAACCGCGTTGTTCATCGATAATGATACTACTAATTGGCTTCTATATGGACTTCAAAACAAAAGACTCAAGTAGTTTGGCATTGTGATTGATAATACTGATTGGCCTGTAATTAATGACATCCGTAACGCAACATGACTTAAAAGTTGGAGTAACTAAACTAATCTTTTACGTATCAGGGAAAACACCTTCAGGAACAGATTTACTATAAATAAGTATTATTGGAAAATACAAAACAGACCTAAGATTACAAATAAAAGAACCTGGAAGGCCACCAGGTCCGGCCGAATTAGTAAGACATAGTTTGGCTAGACTAGAGACGACATCACTTAGCTAAATATTGCAAGAGGAAGGAAGCTCATATGGCGAACCACCATTAGTACTGATATTAAAATGTATACCATCAGGTGAAAAAATGGAGCTAAAATGTTTAGAGAAAAGCTCGTCCATAGTAGTTCTATCAACACTAGCAATACAATTCAATTTAATAGAATATGTCATGTTAGAAACTTTTTTATTTTTCCACACAAAATCCCAAAAATATTTGGTATTGGTACACAAGGTCGTTTCAACTCTTTTGATGTAGCTTGCATAATACTTCTTGGAAAGAAACTTATACCTCGCTTGAAGCAGAGAAAAAGTGGAGTACTCAAGCAAGTGTTGATATCAAAGCCCTGGTAAGCGGTATGGGCTTTTCTTTTTTGGATGGACAAACCTTTAAGGTCACTAGAAAACTATGGGGAAAACTCAGACTTAATGAATCAACCTGTGGGACAAAACTAATAATACAAAAGTGACGAGCTTCATAAAAAGCATTAATGGGTTTGTTTGCATTTAAAGAGCTAATAGTATCTTTCAAATTGTGAGATAATAGGAATTGTTCAATTTTGGAGCTCTATTAAAATCAAAGAAGATATGGTTCAATTAAGAATTATTTGGAACTGGGGTCAAAACCGTTTCTAAAACCAAGGTTGGGTGCTAAAATCTTCAAGAACAAGATACTCATCAGACCTCGTAATAATCATATCGCAATTACTGCTCAAAACTAAATCTAAAACGGAACCGTAGTCATTTTTAATCTCATTCAGTTGGAAAAAATTCAGCTAAACAATTTTTTCAGGGATACAGTGAGCATGGCAGCTGATTGAAGTCGAATAAATTTCATCATTTTTGTCGTTCGACCAGTGGATACCAGGAAGATTAAAATCACCAGAGACAATAAACGGACAGTCAGGGAACGTCATTATGAGATTTTCAAGATTCGAAATAAAAAACTTATAGGAATCAACCGTGGATTCGGGAGGTCAATAAACAGCGCATAGGATATAAGTAATTAAATTATAACTAATCGTAACAAAAAGTTGTTCAAAGTCACCGTCGCGATGTTGAAAGATTGCGCCGAAACATCATTACGAACTGATATGTGGACACCTCCACTTCTATTATGAACACTAGTTACACTGAACCTGTCACATTTAAAAACCTAATTCATTAGAAAAAATACCTTCAGTAAACCACGTTTCTGAAAAACTTATCAAAATGTAATGAAAACAGCTACGTTAAGGTTCATAGTAGTAAGTTTAGTTCTAAGACCACGGCAGTTTTAATACAAACCAAAATAGACTGGCTTTATAAGAGAACATAATATACAAGGTTAACACTAGTCGTACATAGAACATAACAATTATATATCCCATTATTTACAATATTACCAAGGGAAGAATCATCAATAAGTAGAAAACCGAGTTTTTAGAAGCTGAGGAATTGGCAATCATTTCAGGAAGTAAACGTTTTCAGAAGCGTTTCACCATAATTCCTTCAGGCCAGAAATTAGGCTGTAAAACATCAGTCAACATCTCTGCGGGAACTAGAAAATGAAAGGAGGAATAATTTGGATGTCTTGTGAGTTGTGACTATTTGGGTTATTGATACATCCACGACACCAAACTATTCATTCTTGAGTTGAGAGGCAATAACCTGTGGATGAAACCTGGAGACAAAAATGTCCCCAAATTTTACCACTGGCACGACAATTAGCTTAGAGAAAACTACACTATTAGAACCAACAACAAATTTAGGCGCTACTGTCATCATAGCCATTTTAATGACCAAATGTTGGTGAAGAGGTTCGCTATCGGATATGGGATTGGCAGTCATCACTCGCGCAGAAAGTACTTTAAGCTCGAGTAAACCCCAAAGGAACCAGCAGAACGACGGCTAATCACATCATGCATTTTTAAATTGCTAGAGGAAATAACTTTAAGCTCAGACATGATGGATTTGAGAATATGGGCTATTAATGTTAATATTGTAAAATATTATATGAAATATTTTAATTCACTTACCTGCGTATGTAGACGTATTCTTGGATATGTCTCCACGGGGTTGATGTCGATGCTGGAAGTGACGAAGTCACTGAGATGTGTATTCGTGGGTTAAGTTTTTAATTTATATAGTTAATAGTAAATCAAGAGATACTTTCTTCCCGGGTTATAGTATGTATGATATTGAAATGTTATGATTCGATTAAAATTTAAGTTACAAAGTACTCAAAATAATACCTATTATTTAAATAGTGATTCGATGAGATATATATTGTTAGTTCATAGGTATTATTACGTTCATGGGCTCCATGAACACCAGAATTATGGTCATCATGGTCAATCGTGGCTGAGGTGATAGGTGAATCACATTATAAATACTTTATGTATAATAGTTATTTTAGTTAATTTTAACTTGAATTTATTAAGTAGGTAAAATATTCTCCCTCGCTATTGTGGCTACAGTTCACACCACAGACGTTTGTGGTTTTACAAAAGAGCAATAACAAAAATGTACGGTAACTGTTTACGTTTGATAAAGGTCTTGACTTAGGACAGGTTACTGTCGGTATGTGGGTGTTGACCTGGTCACGATGCTTGTGTTTCGTAGTGGTGGTTGGAGACGACATAGACGGGTCGGTATAGTGCTTGTACATTGCAACTACAGAGGACCGCGTCACTTGTCTAACGTAATCTAACGTGTAGACGACTCAGGGTAACGCTACTATATAATATTTCTACCTGTATATAATTAGTTCTCAGAGATTATTAGATTATTATTGTTTGTGGACACCATAAAGCCCTTTTCATGGACATTGATAATTAGTTGTCAGTTGAATGTAATCTAACCTGTAGATTGCCTACCCAGGATAACTTTCCCGTATTATCTATGTCTATGATTATTAATATGTCTTGTACATGGTAGACAAAGTTAAGTTTTGCGGAAAGAAATAATTGACAAATTGATTTGGTTAGTAGTATAAGATCGTCACATCGGATGCACATGTATAAGTGCATTCGTTGAAATGGTAAAAATATATCGAAGTTCTTACCGGCGTGGACGATGTGTGTATCTTGAGGCTTCTTCTGGAAAACCCCGATACAGCTTAGATTTTGTCTGATCCTTAGGACAATATTAGTATAATTCCTTCTTCATTATTGTGTGTTCGTTAAAATAACATTGCATTTTTATGAGTTCGATGCGTTCATGATTTTATACTGTGCAGCGTCTGATCGGAAGAATATAGATTATTATTAATTTGTTTCATATGTTGCGTGTTTCCGCATGTGTGTATAAGGAATGCGTTTGCGTAATGCGAAATATCTTATGTCATTGTATCTGGGTTTTTTTCAAAGATTATGGATTAATGATATGGGATTTCGAAAAAACAAAAAAGACGTTTTTCTTAATTTTTAACAGGAATTTTTTTTATAACAGTTTCAAAATGTTGGTGCAATTGTAACATTTGCACAATATTGCAAAATCAAGTTTATCTTTTCAAATTTTAACCACTATATTTTTTAATGGATTTTGATAAAGCCTTTTTACTAAAAATGTTGATAGTCAAATCAACAATTTTGGTGTCTAGTTTATTTACTATGATCCTTTAAATTTTAGTGAATGCATTCACACTTTGAATTGAAATAATTGTTATACATTTAATTTAAAATAGCTAAATATGTTTTTCTTCAACTATCTTTTGATACAATAAAATCGGTCATTTAATGAGACGCTCCTAAAAATTTGTTGGGATAAATGCCTACAAAATTGTTAGCAAACATAATTCATTGTTTTTATTTTAACATAGATACAACCATCGAAATAAGTATACTCAACGCCGTATAGATATTGGTCTCCAGAGTAATGCTCGAAGTTAATCGTCAAAAATCAGCTGTTCACCATAAGAAGAAGTATAGCTAACGCACTCTGTACACAATTATATATATTATATCGAAATAAAAAAAAAATATCTATCATGAAAACATATAATAAATTATAACTACATTCATTTCTGCTTGGGCGCTAGTTGCGTTTTCCCAGGATAAACATTGGAAATCAAAAATAATGCTACGTTGACTAACCTGCAGTATATCTTACATCGTGCATCCTTATCCCGTTCTACGGGAATAGCTATATATTTAGCTATGTATTTAAATAAATACCGTTGTTTGGTAATATTTAAAAAGAAAATACCAGATAGTTAAATTAAAATATAATTTTAATTGAGTAATATTCTCACTTATAACTTATTATATTTTCGCGTTATGGTACTGATATTGAATATGAATCTGATAATTTTAGATTCTGATCCAAAAATTGTATTTTATTTTCTTGGTTTTTTTTATTTGTGCAACACTGTTTACAAGTGATTAGAAAAAAAAGATGCGGCAAATCTTTAATCATAAATTCGAAATTTATTACAACTTGAGTTAAAAAAAAAATTGTTAGTAATAATTTAAAATACTAGTTTGCTGAGATTTAGTCAATTTATTGATTTCCTGTTACATTTCAACGTCTATGTAGTATGCGTAATACCTTATAGACTATAGAAGTTGGAAATTACTGATAAAATCGAAAAATATTGTTTTTATTAATATAATATTTCCATTGCTGTTATTTAATTACAGTTTACAAATTGCAATTATGTTATAATTGAATAATTGAATAAATCTGTTTTTATTTTTATTTTCAGACGATGCGATTTTGCTATACCATATTTTCGATGCTAGTTAAGTATAATTATAATAAAACAACAAATTAGAATTGTAGTAACGTTTTATGAAGAATATTTTTTTCGAAAATAATTTTATTGTAAAATTTTTAGTATTATTCTGATTACTATGCAACTTTGGTTCTTTTTTTCATGTATTTAAAAATGACATTTTTTATTATCTGTTTGTTCTTAAAGAATTAATATTATATTAATATATTATGTGAATCACATCATTAATATTTGCACAGCTTTATTCATATCTTTTACCATTTATCTATAAACAGCGGTTAGTGACAATTATTTATTTTTAACGGATTTATATATTTGATCTTTGTTCCTAGATATATTTTTCTTATGCTAGACCAGAGATTCTCAAACTCTTATAAACACTGTACCCCCTTTTTATCAATACATATTTTTGAGTACCCCCTTCTTAGTTACTAAATTAAAATATACATAAAAAAATATAAAGACTTTTAAAGACTTTTTTTTGTTGGTTTGTTGGCCAGACTCGTACCCCTTAAAACATTTCGAGTACCCCCAAATCCCAATTGGTATGCGAACCACAGCTTGAGAATCCCTGGTTTAAACAATCAACGAATACAAATAACGTAACTAAATTTTCAAAATTTTTATCTAGGAAGGTACATGAAATATGTACCATGTAAAAGGGAAATACGCCATAAAATCTTTTAAACTCTAGATATTAAAACTGGGGAAGTATGAGCTGAGGTAGTGAGGTATTGAGTGTATCTCTTCATTAAGTAATTGTAATAATGTAATGCAGTGTTTCTCAACCTTTTTTAAGTTACCGCCCCCTTGAGTGTCAAAATGATTTTGAGTAGAGCTGGTGGTATGCGGCTCCTTTTTTTAGAAATAGTGAAACTATCTTAAAATTTGCTTATATGACTATAAGTGATTTCTTTTGATTATAGTAACCGATAGTTTAAGCTAGTTTTCGTCAAACACATTGCATAACTTATAATTATTTTAATGTTATTTGTCTACTTGATATATTATTGATTATTATTAATTGCTATTAGTTTATTACGTAGGTAGTTTCAGAGTTAATACTGCTGTAGCATAGGATGGTGTGAAGTGGTGAATAGACTCGAGGTATATTATTATTTGTAAATCGTAAATAATATTTTAAGAATTTTATTTTTATTGTATAATCGATGTATGATACTATGACATTGTGGAAAATAAATTTAATTATTTAATGGTAAATATACATAATTAAAAAAAAAAATCGAATAAAAGTTTTAATTTTTATAAATAAGTTAATAATATAATACTCATAGTTATAAAATTATACAAAGTGTCTTAAAATTTGTTCGCATACTTATCATATGTATATACATAGGTATATATTTACATACGTAGGTAAAATGTAATTTAAAAAAAAGTGTTTTTATGTCTTTTTTTAGTATATATTATATTTATATATATATATATATAAAATATATAATATATATAAAAAAAATGTTATTTCGCCGGAAAAATAACTTCACATTTTAAATCAACTTTACTTTACTACTTTTTAATATTTTATTTTATTATTTTACTTACATTAAATTTAATATAACAATTTCAAGTATTCATTTATTAATTCAAATGTTATTATTTTTTTTTTCATTATCTATTTTGAGAACACTTTGCATAAAAATTATAACTGTATAATAATAATAAAGCAACAAGATAATCAACACTTTTCATAATGACAGTAATATAATATATATTATTATATATTATTTACAATATATTTCTTCACAAATAAAAATTTTGTACAGTATTTCTCTAAATAGTATTATATGCTGGCCTAACGTTAATTTAATGAAAAAAAAAGGGCCAAGCTCGTATACCTATAGCTTGGATGTTATAGGATATAAGGATTATGATAATCTAATAAAATAAATATATGTTAATCAAATAATAAATACTAATAGGTATGTTTAAAAATATATATAAAAAAAGCTCATAGTACATTGTATGTCTAACTAGACGTGTGTTATCATTAAACCGTGTCTATATAAACTAATTAAATACTAAAAAATAACAAACAAACACATTACTAAAGGAAATTGTAGGAAATGTCAAATTTGAAAATAATTTCTTTAAATAGAAGTTTTGAATTACATATATTATTGGTTTTGCAATTCTATGCAGGTGACAAAGTCATTGACCGATTTAATCATTTGGTCCCCATAATTTAAATGTTTATCTAATAAACGTTGTACAGGAACTTACTGCAATATTACAATAAGGGACAACACTGCAACTATATATATATATTTATATAATTATGACTTTGATAAGTTAACAATTGTAATTGAAAAAAACAACAAATAATTGGTACCTATTTAAAAACGTCGGTGGGCATCAAACAAACATTTTTTAACTTTTCTAACAATTTGCATGATCGGTATCAGCTTCAAAATGCTGTTATTAATATAATATATTTACATGACATCATACGTACATTTAGATATATACCTACGTAGGATGTATAATGTATATCTTAATCAGCTCATGACATGTAAATATCTTATGATTCAATTTCTAAAATGCAAAACGCGAATACTTCACTAAGTAGAAGAGAAATTTCCATTTAGTATTTATATGTGTTTTATCAAGAATAATTTAATTCATTCGAGCCTGTAATTATCAATTAATCACATGAGGTTGAAGAAATTTCATTTTGAGTTTTAAAAATATGTTTATTAGGCCTGAATCTTACGCGCGTTATTAGTAAATTCATCTGTTTATATTATGTGAACCAAAATAATTGCAGTTTCCTGGGTTTTATAAATTTCACCCTGGTAATTAAAAAAAAAAATACAATTTATAACTCGATATAATATTGACGTCAGTCTTTGGCGCAGATGAATCTGTTTTTTTTAAATTCAATTGGAAAAATCATTTAGATGATTGACTCTTTATTTCTCTCGTTATCATCACAACTACTATCTGCACTACTTCCAACGTCTTTACAAATCTGCATCTCAATTTCAGCAAGCCTGTGGTCCATGTCCCATCGCTGTTGAGTAACTTTTTTGTTGAGGTACAAGTTTTCTGTTTCCACAGCTATCAAACGTTCTTGTAGTCTATTGATTTCTGCTTCCAATGCGGACACCATCGTTGCATCTTTACCTACACCTAGTGTATAACAGACGTTATGGTTATAACAGACACGAAAAATAACAACGTTGATGAGAGTTATTGGAATCGATATTCACCCGAAGTTGTCGCTTGTGGTTTTTGAGCATCTTGAACATGATGATGGTGGTGATGGTGGTGTTCTTGATCTAGAGAATATTTACTAGACAGAGGGGACTCTAAAGTAGCTGCGGCATTTGATCTGTATCAGAATAATATAGTTTTGTTTTATCTAGGAAGTATATTATTACGTGTGAACAGAAATATATTCGAGTCGTAACTAACCTGAAACTAGGACTTGCGGTAGGACTGAATGATGTTCTGTTATTGATGTTACTGTTAAATGTAGCCGCAGGCCTTAAAAGACCTTCGCTGGATTGCAACCACATCTCATCTTCTACTTTAATTTGGCTTTCTACGATTCCAGGCGTCGACTTGCATCGCCTTCCGACTAATCCTATATAAATAAAGAAGACAATTTTATTACCCTAATAAATTTTCAAATAACTCTTCCATATTATACACATAGGTACAAATTTAAGTAATGCTTAACGTATTCAAACAATTTATGGGTTTTGACTAACCTTCTAATTTATCGTCTGGGCTAGGATCAGTTTTGTACTTTTCCAGACGTTTGGTCGCTATTGCCTCTAGTCTGATTCTGGCAGTTGGGTATTCCTTGAGCACGTCCCACATATCTTTTTTTGACAAAACGAACAGATCGCTATACCCTACTGACCGGACTGAAGCAGTCCGCCTATTCCCTGTACAACATGAAGTGTTATTATCCACACAACAACACACACCCACTCACACAGTTACATTGAACTGATGAAAGAATTTACCTGCTGTTCCCATATTAAGTATACTGATTTCTCCAAAATATGACCCTGCTCGAAGTACTGCTAAAACCGACTTGCCATCGTCGGTGACCACTTGTAGTTTCCCTCTGCTGACTATGTACATTTCTTTGCCAACTTCCCCTGAAAACGATTCATAATTTAATCTTTCCGCTAATGATGATTATACTGTTTAACACCATAATGAATTGAAAATGACGATGAGTACCTTTTCTACAAATATAATCGCCGGGAGAAAACAACACGGGTCTTAATTTCAACACCAGTTCACAAAGGAATCCTGCTTCCGTATTCTGAAAGATTTCTACCCTTTTCAGCGTGTCCAAGTGTACGTTTATTGCGATCTCAGCTTTTAGTTTATCTATAAAAACGATAAATTATACCAGCATATTAATTTTGTTAATGTAAGTTGTAATATTCTTATAAAAATTAAAAACCTAGTCATGACATTGTAAGTGTAAGTATACTTTATTGATATTATAATTATAAGATCTTATATTATAAATATTATCGTTTTCTCAAGCCGTTTTCCTTCTTAATAATACTGTTTTGGTGCGAGGTTCTTCAATGTTTTGTATTCTAATATTAAAACACTTTATACATTGTATTTTAGCAGTTATAACAAAATGCGATGTTACTTTTTCACACTATACGAATTTTAATTAAAAACAGAATAATGCATTTAATAACTACCCGGTAAACAGCTAATGGCTTTTTCTTCGTCTGAACATTTTTGCGTTAACCAGAGGTAGTCAAACCATTTAATCACTTTGGTCTGCAAGTGATTCGGTACTCTTCTCATTCGCATGTAGGTTTTAACACCGTCCAATTTCGCTAAAAAATAATAATTATAATCAGAATATATAATCGAAAAGTAAAAACAATGCAATTTTACGATTATGTTATTCATAATTAAATTCATATTTGACTGACATATCTATTTAATAACATTATTATATCATCGTACACTTTACAGAATGAGCTGAGTTAGCTGCATTTTGATAATTATTACGACAAAATAAAGCTACCCTAGTCTAATATTAATAAAATGTAATATAGTAAAGTATACAAGAATATAATCAATAAACATAAGCGGAATGCATCAAGTAGGTAAAGACATATAATTGTTTGTAATTTTTGTTTACTTTAAGCACCATTTTATGCAGGGATACGAGCATCATGCTTGATAACTAATTGGGTATTATATAATATGCCTAATATATGAATAGTTCATACACGAGACAAGAGAAGATAAAATAAAATATAATATGTATGACATTGGTTGTATGTTGTATGTATAGGTATATCTAAAATTATTCGCATTCAAAATATTAGTTTACATATTATAATAATGATAACAACTTTCCTGTTGTATAAAAAAAAGGATTACATAATAAAGACCGGCATCTAATTTAGTTAAATACCTTCCTTAAGTTTTATATAAATTGCACAATATATGTAAAATATAATTTTTTAACTATATACATCTAATAGTCTATCTATATATTTTAAAGGCTTTATTCAATTCAGAAAAAGAAGTAACATAATAATAGTCTTTAATAAAATAGGGATATCAGGGTGATTCTTTTAACACTGTATTTTAAGAAAAATTATTTTTTTTCAGTTTAATTTATAGATAAATAAAAAAAAAACTATTTATTTAATGTTTGGTTTAACATAAACATTTTTTAACGGTATTATAAAAAGAAAAATATAGATTGTTATTTAAAAATAAAATCTTGTTAACTGTTACACTATATGTGTGAAAAATAATAGTGTAAGTATAAGGGATAGTTTAAAATACTGAAATCGAACACATTTTTCATGTTCCAAAAATAAAAATTAATTACAAATGTATTATTTTAGAAAAAGGTCAGTATAATTTAGGAAAGATTATAAACAAAAACTCATTATAAAAAAGGTTTTTTTATGGAAATCATAAGAATATCGTCTTTTAAGAGTAAAATAATATAACAACTTGGTATTCAAGTAGTTATCTGCTGACCAAATATAAAAATAGAACATATTAACCATCCAGAATACAGACAAAGTCGATATCTACAGTTAAAATGAAAAGCATAAAACCATAAGACAAACAAATAATGAGGCTTTGGGGCGCTTATTGAACCGAATAAATAAGACAAATTCACTAAAAGCATATTATTGTTTAGGTTTTGAATACAACACAACGCAAAAAAAAAAAAAACAACCGGAAGTCATAGACAACCAGCTGGTCATTTATTTTTGTGATTTAGAAAATAAGTGAAACTGTCAGTTTTATTCAATATAGGTGGGTAACATTATAAAAGTAAAGTCTAGTTAGCAAAAACTATATGAAAAAAATATAACGAGTAGATAGGTAGAATGTTGGACGACAGATCGAAAGAAATACATTTAAAAATAAAAATTTAATAGTTTTGTAAACATTACATGTCTTTACTTACATTGAGCAGTACCATCTGCAAAATAAAATTACAGTCATATTAATAAAAAAAAAATTGATTCTGTTGTATATTGATATTTTTATGGAAATATAATTTATATTTTAGTTTACGTTCAATGAATTGAGTTTTAAATGAAAATCTATCCATATTCCATCTAAAGACATAACGTTGGTTTACTAATCTATTTTTCAAATATTTATTTTACCGTTGTTTTAAAACGAATAATGGCTTTAACTTATTTGCTAATGTCAATAACTTATATTTTAATACTAACCAACAAATAGGTACGTTTGAAATTTTGAATACGTGTGTTAAAAAATAGATTTTTTAAGTTTAATATAGTATATTTATTCATCTATTAATGCTTAATGCAGGTATCTATAGATCCTATAATATTGTCACTGAATGTCACCTAATCTTGTTAATCTAACCTATTATGTTTAAGTAACAATATGAATGGTTTGTAATTGACCAATATATTATTATAACTATTAGCTCAACCCTTTTGAAAATCATAATATCGCACATTAACATAAACATTTAAATATTTTTTTTTAATTTTTGCTTCTGAATACATTGATATAACTAAACGAAGCTGTAAGAAATTATAAACTCTTAAAATGATTGTTTTGATTAAATCTCCGAAACACAATAGGCACATTTAATAATAATACAAGAGCACTCGACGTTATGAATATCACGCATCTATTACCATAGCTCTCCGAATGCATCGTTGTTGCGATGGCAAAACTAACGAGTATCAGGGACAAAACCGGGTTATTAACGATGTTCCTGATTCTGCACTAGTAGGCAGGTTGTGTAACACGCATATAGTAGTACAATAAATAGGAAACGTGTGAGGAAAAAAATAAGAAACCGAAGGGGAAAAAACGAACAAAATACAAACACAAAATCAATAAACTCTGCTGCAAAGGTTTACCTTAATTCAAAATCGTGTTGTGTACGAAACGTTTCTTACCACCACCGTCGCCACGAATAACTATAAACTCCGTCGTCACACGAGCGACTTAATCTAGTTTTATTATGTATGTTGCAGTGTGTACTATAGCGAATATATATATGTATATATGTATGTGTGTGGGTGTGTGTAAACCGGGTGTACGCACGGATTAAAATCAAGATTTATAGTGCCTCCTGCAGTTAGAGCCGTTGCCTTTGCCTGCACGACCGAATCGTCTACTATCGTTCTATGCCTTCTGGATACGACGCGTTTGGAATAATATATTATTATTATATACCTACCAATAATAACGATGTTATATAATAATTATACGAATAGTAGCCCTTTGGGTACCCTAGAACTGTAGTTAATTCACCGTTTTTATCTCCGTCAAATATGCGTAGCACTACAACCGAACAATATTATGGCCATTGGCCACATTAGAGGAGAAAAAACCTACATAGTTAGTCGAAAATGAATTGGTGGTAATTTGCCTACATGATTATATGAGCGTTATAATATTGGAAACTAAAAAGCCAATCAGGAAGTTTTTACCTCAGCAGATTCGCCTTTTTCAAATATTAATACGAACTTATCTATTTTCCTCCAAAAATGAGGCATAATTTTCCTTAACTGTTTATTTTCTTCAAAAAAATAAAATCCAGACAATTTTTCTGCTTACCTATTTTTTTTTTGTTTATGTATAATCATAGGATCCATAATTTCTGATAAACAATTTAGCAAAAGTATGTCTTAATAAATTAGGCCTTATCAGAGTTATGAGATCATCGACTGCAAGAGCCTTACTCTTCTAACAATACAGTGTACAATAGTCACTACAACAGGTCTTCGATGAATAAATTAATATCGGTAATTTTTCATTAGATACATTTTAGCATTCGGAAGAAGTAAGACACAATTTTGGTCCAAAAAAGTGTTTGGAAGAAAATAGAAACTAATCTTTTTTTGTGGAGAACAATGAATAGTGGAGGATAGTGGTATCTAATTTTTGAAGTAAAACGGTTCTGCAATAAAAGTAAACAAATTATACTTAACGGTAGATGAAAAAATAATGGAATACTAAAGACACAATTAAATTAAATAAAAACAATATGACACAACCCAGGACTTAAAAGAAAAGTAGAAAGAATGAACCACATATGTACAGGACTTCACAAATTCATACACACTGCTACTTTATGTCCAAATAAGGAACATCCACATGAGCATCATGAAAAGTCAAATACTCTATCAAGTATCAGCACATTATCACAAAGTTTTTTTTTTTTTATTTATTTAAGCTTCGGCAACTGAGGCCATTAGCTGTAGGTTGTGTGGTACTGTAGGGTTTGGGACTGTAGGGGGGGGGACACGTGTGTGTTTTTGGCAGAATTTCTATTGGGCACCCGTAGGTTTCTGCCATGCCCGGTTGGGGGATGGCGGCACTTGTTTTCCGGCCACCGCGACTTGTCCGGAGAAAAATGCCACCCGGTGGCCGAGGATCGAACCGCGACCGGCTGCGTCGCAGCGGACGCGTCAGACCACTCGGTCACCTCGTCCCCCCACAAAGTTTTATAAACACGAGAAAACAAGAAAAAATATAACACACTTCATCAAAATTGTCTGACCCTAGGCTGAATTTCCAAGCCAACAGTCATACTTTGAAGTTTGAAAAAAAAACAAATATTTATAATTTAATATAATATTAAGTTATTCTAAACTACTATGTATGGCCACAAATGTTCATGTGTTTTCTAGATCGATAAAAGAATTGAAAACATTCTTAAGACATCAAACAAAGAATACCTAGTAGTTTTGAATCTCCGAATTTCAAATAAATATTCTGTTTAATTAAAACCCACGTGTAACCAGTTGAATGATCAAGAATGACTTGACGTAATGCTATCAAAATGTTTCTCCTTATAATTTTATAAAAAAATATTGAACCAACAATGTAAATTTGGAAATGAAAATCGTTTTTACTATACTAATATGTGTGTCTAATGTTTCTACTAATATGTCGTTTAGGGTCAAAATTAAAGATAGTATTGTATGAAAACGATTTCAATTATAAAATGTATATAATATACATTTGTATATTTATATAATGTTGTGGATGTGCATTTTATAAAAATATTATATATTATATCCTTATTTTTATTTAATTCATTACCTATAATATGTGATATACAATGTATCAATTTCACTGAGATTTAAATCCTGGGTAATTGAATAATTTTAATATCTAATGATAAATTCGTAGAGTTGAAAAACCAACCGGGTATAGATTTAAATAATTGATACGAGTTTACACAAATTAACACAATATATTAAAATACACATAAATGTAAACTTACTGAAAAGAACGCGAATTATTATTATAAATTAAAATTTTATCAAGTCGTTATTTGGAATTATTACATATAATTATACATACATACACGTATTGCACATAAGTATTGAGTAGGCATACACTATATTTTTACTGTGATAACGCGCAGCTCGTGTTTAATTCATCTTCATTACAATAGTTAAAGTTCTATATTCAATACACTTATATGTTATATTGAGTGTATCTATAAATAAATTTATCCATCGAATAATATAATATTTTTTTAATCTAATCACTGATAAACAAATTATTAGACCTTACATATTATTTTTCTTCCTGTATAACATTACTATTACTACTGTAAGGCGGCGTACATGACGTGTAATGTATATTGTATGTCCATACGTTATATATTTATCATAATGTATACAAGATTTAAAATAAAATATACGTTTGTGTACATGTCACCGTCTTGCAATTGAAAATATTTTGAACAATTTTATCGTGACTATAATAAAATGAGCGTTTATAGTTTTTATAATTTTTCAAGCGTTTCATTTGGAAAAAAAAAACATTTTATGATCAGTGTGCCTGGAAATACGAAAATGATTAAAAGCTCTTGGAAACCCTTTTGCGGACCATTAAGCCTCAACTTTTATAATGCGTTTTTGTGACGACGATCATTACTTAGCCTCACATTAATGGGCTCTAATATAGAAAACTTATCGTTTTTTGAGCTGAGTATCTATACTTTGTAATGAGAATTAATCACACAAATTTAATTTTTAGTTTTACAATATTTATTTAAGAAATTTACATTTTTAATAAAAATGAAAGGTTATTTATTCGTATTTCAAGACCATAAATAAACCATTTTTGTTATTCAATAAGTATTAAATATAAAGTGCAACATGATTTTAGTTTTAACGGTTAAATGTTTATAATTTTGGTTTTTATATTGTGCTTTAAATATTGTATACGCAGGTATGTAATGTATATAAGTGTGGAGTGTTTACCTATACTGGGTTCATTATTGTATATTTGTGTAATGACTATAATTATCAATTTAAAAAAAAAAAAAAAAATACTTTCATAAATTAACTTTCAAGAAATATGTACTTGTAATATTACTCCTAGATAATTTAAATTAACTAAAAATTATTTTAGAAGTTCATCACGATTTCAAGCAGCCTAAAGTAAGCAAATGTTATTTCGATTATTTTTAGACATTTAAATTAATCATCTTTCAGATAGAAGAATACTTACTTTTTTAATTATCAAATATAAGACAGCCACGACTATAGTAGTATGTACTTATAATAAACTTTAATTAGATAATTAAATAGGCTGAGTCGTATACAAGTAATATTAAATAAAATAAAAGGGAAAATAACTTTGATTATAGGTTGCTTTTAAAATTAACTCAATTAAGTAAGTATTTATACATGTTGAAGCAATTTTAAAACTTCTCGAAATATTTTGCGAGTGTATAAAAATAATATTATAGGTACATTATCTTTTGAAATACGTTAATTATATTTTTCAACTTTTCAAGTACATAAATAATGTGCACAACTGTAGTTAAAATGTAGTATGCATGATTTTTTTTGTTTAAATAATTAGTTAGGTCGAACAATTTTATAATATAGTGTATTTTTTAATAGTAGGTAATATATAATATATTATATAGCCATATAGGTTCTATTCGGTGTGTTATGTTATTGTATCAACAGTTACTTAATGTTAGATTAAAAAGTCTATATACCTGTAGTGGGATATTTAAGAGAACTTATTGTTAGATCATCTCCTATTAAGGGGGGGGGGGCTTAAACGTTTAAAATTGTAGTCAAACTTAAAAAAAACTCCACTGACTATACTGTTTAAAGTATACAATTTTAGATAGAATAATTCATTACTTGTTACTGTGCCTATACTAGTGTACTCGTCTTACCTTGGAATTCTTTGCGGCCCGCGCTCACGCTCACCACAATACTTGCCACGTGGCCGAGCACGGTTGCAAACAGTAGGAGACCGAACAGCAACTGGCATATGACAAACGCGTACTCGCCATTGCTCCTTGGTTTGGGCAAGTCGCCGATGGTGGTCAACGCCAGGGTGCACCAGTAGTAGCTTTGCAGGTACCGCTTAACCGTGTCCGTCTCCTCGGTATCCGAGTCCGTGTATACCCAGTTTTTGCTACCGAACCCGTTGTTCTTGTAGATGATGTGGTAGAGACACCCGTTCCAGTGAAATATCACCAACAGGTAGTGGATGAGGCTACCGGATCGGATGAGGTTCGGGTAATTGGTGTGCCGCTCGGTGCGGTCCATGAACGCCCAGAACCGGTAGATCTTTACTATCCGAAATGATCGGAGGATCGAGTTGAACCCTATGGACAGGTAGAGGAAGTCTAACGGCAGCAGGCACAGGCAGTCAATGTAGAACGTAGTCGAGTTCATGTAGTGGTTGCGCAGTTTGGCGGCATCCGTTTGCAGCACGCCGTCCTCCAGGTAACCCGTGCGAAAGTGAAATAATATGTCGATCACGTAAAGCAGATCACATATATAGTCCAAACAAAACCAAACCACGATCGTGTTACCTGTGATGAACATTTTTTGTAAGATCATTATTGTTGAATATTATTCTTATGCCTATCAAAAATAGGCATATGCTGTTGCCTATTATAATGGTGATATAATATTATAATATGCCAACGACAGAAATACGTTTGATGTTAAAGGAACACTTATAATGTCACTGACACCCGTGCCATGCACTCCAGTTAAACATCATGACGTGTTTAAAATGTATCTATATGAATTGGAAATCAAGGGATCACAACATGGCGGTTACTCTTCAGTCTTCACAAAAACATAATATCAAGAACGACATTTGTATGAAATCAATTTTATGGTTCAATAAAATGCAGTCACTGGAAATAATTCGGCACTGAAAGTAACTTATAGTAATACGTGGTTTGATCTTTTTACTTTTATAAATGTCGAAGTCGAAGTCAAATCAAAATTAAAGTTATGCAATTAGTTTGAAGAAGATCGGTATTATTTCGACTTTTTTAGTTACATTTTTGACATATTATTGACAGGTTACATACCAGAACGGGCGAGTTAAAAAAACAAAAAAGATAATGGCTTCTGAATTTATTTTTGTACAATATATCTATATCAAAATGTTTTATTATATATGTACCAAAATTAAATTTTATTTCCAAATTAAGCAAAACGGAAACATTCAATTTTTAATTAATGATATATTAGGTATTACATTTTGTAGTGACACCGGTTAAAAACAAAAAATAAATTGTTGTTTATACTATCAAATACATATTTAATATAAATATGTATACAGCTGTAGTGTGGTAGGTATTTATTTTTATCAAATTAAAAAATATTTCTTAAAAACAATCGATGGTTGTGTATATGCATGTTTTGATTGCAGATGTTGGAACCAGGCATCTTGTTCATTATTTGATTGACACTTAATTTATGGACATGAATTGCTGAATTGCTGCAGTGTATAATTGGTTCCCCGCTGAGATATTATTTTTATTCCTTAAATAAGAAGTAGGTAAGCTACCCTCAAAGTAAGTTTTTAAGTTTTATTTTCATCCATTAGATAATCGTGTTTTCTTTTGATTTTACAAATCTGAGCCTTTCTCGGTCTGAAATTAGGTCTACTGAACATTTTTTATAAAATGGATTTTGTATCAAGAACAAGCGACAAAGGTGTTTTAATAAAATATATTCAGGTGTAATGCAACAGGTAAATATTATACAGCCGTTACCAATCTACGTATCGCATAAGTTTCATCCGCATCCAAAAGTGGATTCGATCAACTTTGCGAACATGATTTCATTGGGTCCCCATCTCCAATATAGTTTTATGTAAATATTTTTTTCTTTGGCTAAATTTGTTCAATATTTTAAAGACTTTTTTTGAATTGGGTAATAGATAGCTTTAACCTTGAAAACATTACCTATAGGCATTTCTCATTCATCAATAGACAAACTAACCTCATCTTACCTAACCATAGACAATTGCTACTTACGGTTGATTTCACTGAACGCGAACCGATATATGATCACCCAGAAATTGTAGAGGAACGCCATGGACACGACCATGTTCCAGTAGTAGCAGAGTTGTCCGGCGGGGTCAAACACAAACGACCACCGTATGCCCTTGACTCGGTCGGACGTCCGGTCTCTGTACTGCCGGGGACCGCCGTTCTTCTGCCGGCCGCCGTCGAAGCAGATGGAACCGCGGGCGTTGTTGTACGACGCCCTTCCAGTCGTGGTGCTGCCTCCACCAGTTCCGTCGGCTCCACCACCGCCACTTGACGCCGCCGCCGTTGCCGCACCGGAAGCACTTCCGCTTCCGGTGTTACCCCCATCGCCGCCTCCGCCACCACCGTCGCCCACCCCAGCGCCGGTGCCATCAAAGTTGACCCGGCTCGGACGGTGCTGCCCGGAGGACGATTTGCCACCCGCCTTGGCCGCTATGTCCGAATCCGAGCTGGCTATGCCACCCGGTAGACAACTGCTAGTCTGGTTTGTGTAAACCGGCGTCAACGAGTCTCGGGAGTGGGAGAAACAGGTCTGCGTACAAACAAAGAGTCAATAATTAAAACAGAGTGGATATTATCTTATCTATAATTGTGTTGTTAAAAGGGACAAATGGGCGTCCTATCATTTAGACACAACTTTTGATGTCAAAAAATCACCCATGCAAATAATTAGCATGAATTTTCACGACAATGTTTAGAATTTGTGTAATTCAAATTTCCGAATTATTTCTCACAGTACCACGAGGGTTAACGTTATGTGAACTATTTCAAAAATGTTGTTTACACTGAATATTAAGACATAATAATAAGCATGCATTTGCATTTTGCACGACTGTCACCGATTTCGACGACATATCATAATTTTCTGAATAAAACACATTTTCTCGTTTCATCCGAGACCCTCAATATGGACAAATTGAAATTTTTAAAATGTTTTTTTTTTCTACTAAATATTGTTAATATTGTTGTGCTTGTGATGATATTGTTTTTTAAATAATATTGGTCACACCACATTCATACATTTACACATTTTACAATAGGTACCTACATTAAGTGTAAGTATAGAAAAATAAAGCATTTTTGTGTCCGATCTATAATAAAATAATTTACAACTCGTAGTATTTGATTTTTATTTATTCATTACCTGGTAACAAATAATTTAGTTACATGTATTATAACATTATTTAGTAATATACACTAGGTATCATTTAACAATTATAGTTTATGAATAAATGTATAAATATAATAATTTATAATTTTAATTATTGGTCTACGTGTTTTGTGTTACTTAGATATAAGACATGGGGCTTTGGACTTTCTGCTTGTGAATTATTTAATAGTTAGAACCCTTCTAGACTATCTGTTTTATATTTTCAGAACAACGCGATCTAATATAGTATTAATATGTTTTTATCAATCTTCGTAATGTTGACCTTTTTTTTTTTTTTTTTTTCGTGGTATCGAGAACCGGAGTGGGGACTGCTTTCGCATTACGTCCACTCTTTCGCATTACGTCCACTACTTTCGCATTACGTCCACTCTTTCGCATTACGTCCACTTCGTAATGTTGACCTATTTAGATTTCTTTTGTCATGTTTCCTAGCTGAAAGTGACTATTTTATCTGAAACTAGATCCTACCCCTTCGAAGAATTATGTTACCTGAACAAAGTTATCAAAGATAAACTAATTTAATCCTTTTAAAGAGTACAAAAGTTTGATAAGACATGATCACTTCTCAAAGTGCGTCTGTCCGAATGTCAGTATTTCTAGTTTCTACTAATTTTTACTGATACAAAGAAAATAGCATAGAGAAGGTAATTTTTTTCTTGTTGTAATAATTCATTAAATTGTTTTTTTAACCCTATATTTAATGACTAAAACTGTATTTATACACTTTATAGTTCCATTTGAAGAAAACGGAAGGATAGCATTGTATCTGAATTAACTCAAATATATGCTAAAGCGTTTATCATTTTTTGGTATTCGGATTTTACTTTACAGAAAACCTTTTTATGTAATAACCTAAAGTATTACATATACATATGCGTATACATAATTAAATTCCAATACAGTGGTTTAAATATCCCGCAATAACCTTTCATTATTAAACAGTTATAATTAGTGGACTCAATATTTGAAATGGGGTATGTGTAAATTAACCCTGATGGTATAATGGTTAAATACAATATTATTATGATACATAGAAACGTAATCAGCTTATTCACCATGTTTGAACTTTCGATACATACAAATCTCATTCAAAAATAATTTAACGATACCTACTGATACTTAGTTACGTAAACCCATTAATTTCGCATTAATAATAATTACTCAGTTATAATTATTAATCGAAGGATAATAATAGCACGTAAAACGTCAATAATTTAGTTATCCTATTTAAATTATTCAGTTGGATATGATTTAGTTAGAAGCATAAAATCGAGAGTAAAATATGTTTGTATACAATATAATACTATTATAATCTATTAATCTGTAGAAAATAAACTCTTTTAGTAGGTTGGTGGTATATACGCAGAATTCACGTCAGAGATGATTCTCATCTGATATTTTTGTTAAGTAATTTATCTTTCCCAATACAAATATCCCGAGACCGAAATAATTGTATTGAACAAATAAATAATAACGCATCTATGTTTTTATTTGAGTGGTCAACAAGAATAGCAGCGGTTAATGGTATCCAGAGAGTGAGTTCACAGGAAGAATTCATTTCAACTCCCTACACAACTCATTCTAGAAGTTATCCGGGCACGTACATACAGCATCGTGTTCAGTTGTGGTGGAAAACGTGGTCTAGTAACTTATAAAACACATCTATTGTTCTCTTTTTCCTCCATAAAATGTAGATTTCTGGATTACATTCGATTTAATCGCCAACACTTTAGTCTCCGGTCAAATACGACTCGGCTGCGAATAAAATAATATTGTTTCTAAGTTGGTACTAAATAAACATCAGCCGTTTATTAATGAACAAATATTGTACAATTTTTAGAAAAATTTAAAATAAGATCAAATGTATTCACACTTTTCAAACATCGAAATTGTATTATCATCAAATTGTTTGTTTTTTTTAATTAATACTTTTTATATTTTGTTTTACAATTTTATTCAATAATACATTTATACAGACATACCTGCAGATTGGAAATTTCACCGCAAACTATTCAACTCGTTACCAAATTTATCATTTATTTATCGGTTAAATTAAATGAAAATCCAATTTTTAAAAACGTTATTTAAATAATTACATTCATTATTTATGTATTTATAAATTATTTTAGAACTCAACATGTAAATAAATCGAATACGATAAAATTCTACTCGTAATGACAATTCAATTAATGTTCACAGTTAAACAAGCATACAGTTAATAGTTTTGCATTGATTTAATAAACAATTTATATTTTATAGACATTGAATGGTAGATAAAATAATATATAATAATTTTCTGACATAAAAATATGAAAGATAATCTAAAGATTAAAAATATAATGTTTTATTTATTTATTTATTTTTCGACGATCGATTTTTGATGAAAAAATTGTTTCTGGTAGTTATAAAAATAATCTTAATTTAGGAATTATAATGATTTATTTTTTATTTAGATATTTGCACAACTTTCAAATATTAAATTACTATTCAAAACGCAAAGAAAAATGGTTTTAAATACCTAGTATGCATTTCTTATATTGTAGGTACCTACATAAATATTTTGAGTAGTTGGCTATAGACTTTTTATTAATAATAAAAAAAAAAACTGTACAAATTAATCAAACTGACCTGAGGTGGTTTTCGACTTACGCCGAATCTACATCCTACCAAGTCGAGTAAGCTTTGTCGGCCAGCAGAAAGCCTAAGTGATTCGACGCTGGATTTAGTACCGAATCTTACTGGACTCCCAGTATCTAATCTCGTGCCAGATATGCTAAGTCGTTCGCCAATTCGCCCTGTGCTGGTGATAGTTCCTGAAAAAGTGAAAACCAATTTTTAGAAATGGCATAAAAAAATATCAACCACAGAGTTGGATGTGGTATAATAGCAAGTCTCATAATATTATTATTTAAATATAAACTAAAGAATTACCAATTATCATATATTCAAATAACTATTAATCAAAAAATACCTGAGTTAAATCTCTATCAATCTGTATATGTAGGTACTTAATAACTAATTTTACACATTTCACTTTTAAGACAGTGTTGCAAACACCATACTTACCTATATTTAGGTTTTTAATCGTAAATTATTATTTTGTACACATTTTTAGAAATTTTTTATCAACTTTGTATGAAAAAAAAGAAATTTATTGAAAAAATTGTATTTATTCTGAAGAAAGATGGAAAGTATTCATATTTATTGCCAGTCGTTTTGACGGTCTGGAAAAACAAACGGATATGGTTCATGACCGTAACGTTTTGGACCCTTCCGGCCAAACGTTATTATTTGCGCTTTTTGCTATTTATCGTGCTTTTTTTTAACTTTGATCCTATGTTCTTTTTCTCCTTCATCCTAGTTTGTAATGTGATTTTTTCGTAGTAAGGGCGGTGGAAAGAGAATCGTATAACAAATAATATAAAAGAGGAAATTGATCCAAAACAAAAATGAAAAATGCATAATATGTCTTTTTCAAACCCAAGGCTTCATAAATACAGAGTTTATTATAAATACAGAAAAAATTATTATATTCTGAAGAATGTGTTGTCATTTATAAAATACGAAATTCAATCAATAATCGACAGAAAAATTGTCAGCACATTTGCTTCGTAATTATTAGTTATTAATTATTATTGCAATAGACTATATTATTTTAACTATAAAGTACCGGAAACACGCATCGATTGGCAGTTGTATAGAAAGTTTTGAGTGTATTATGTCACTGTAATGTAAGTAATTTGAATTCTAAGAAAAATCATTATATACGAACAAACGATACTGAATGATGGTAACGGGTGGACATACATGTATTTTTGAGGATATTTTATGTTTGATTATAATAAGATTATTATTCGTATTTTTTTAATATAAGTTTGACTTAGGTATATTTGCCAAAACATGATAGTAAATTAACTTCTATTTTATACGTTCATATTCCAGATTATCATTATACTTTGTTGTAACAAAGTTGCGTACATGGCACATCATAGTGTTTGTGGTATGTATAGATTTTATAGAATTTTCAAAATATTTTGTCTCATGTAAAGCTATTTATAGGTATAAGAAATTTTTTATTTTTATTTTTATAATAAATGTCGATAAAAGGTTTTTTTTTAAGTTGTTGTTAGTGGAAATAAAACAATTAAGAGTATATCTACCGTAATTTTTTTTGAGCTTCTAAAGTTCGAATTTTGACAAAAAGGTGTTTACCGACATTGAAATTAAATCAATAAAATTACATTCATGGGGTCATAAAGTTTAAACAATTAATACAAGACTCCCCACACATTGTTAAAATATTAAAAATACACTGGCAAGATTTTTTTTTATAATCATATAAAGTCGAAATTACGTATTTCAAAGAAGAAGAACAATTTTAGTTTTGAGTTGTAATTTAAAAATATTATTCGTGGGTACTTCAAACTTCTAAAGTATATTATTGTATATTTATATACAAATATAATAATATGCAAATAATATTAATTCAACTTATCATCCATCGTATTAGTAATATGCATATAAATATAATATAAAATATCCTAGGTTGATTAATAATATTGTATCGTTAAATTCAAATTTAACACCATCCATCATAGTGACCCACTTGTAACCTACTGCATAGTGAGCGTCCACCACTTACCCTCTCTTTTGTTGTTGTCGCTTTTCCCAATAATTAATATAACAGTTACGATTTTTTTCGAATTATATAGGTCTGATTTTCTACCAATAATCACACTGAATATTGAAGATTGCTGGAAATTTATCGCTCCAATATGTGACATTGGACACAAAAAAAAACCATACAATGTTGTAAAATCAAAACATTCATATAATATCATTGTAATTAAAATACAGTATAATAAATACATTATTTGATATTCTCATTAAATTATTTTATTTATTTTAAATATTTAAATTATTACCAATGTAGAGAAATTTTAATTCTTACTGATTATTGAAGTTATTAAGAGAGTTAAAGATTATATTGGTATTTTGTTGGTAATTTATTTTTTTAGTAATATGTTAATGTTTTAAAATAGTCATTTAAAGTTACGCATAGATTCAAGCTTGTCAATTTAAACTACTGGTACTTAAAAAAAAGATTTAAATTAGATTAAATACTTAAATGTTTTCAAAATTTTCTCATACATACAGAAACAATTACCAATAGATTCACTATTAGTACTGTTATTAACTTATTTTCATTATTTTTAAAATGTTGTGGGTTTAATTTGAGACATAAATGTTCATTTGAATTGGAATAATATAACTATAGAGACAATGAACGCTTTATCAAAAAATGTAAGTCACTGCAGTCATTTATTAATTTGCATTAAGGGAAAATATAGAAAGAAGCCTTCTTAGCTATATTTTCTGCGGCAGGTTGGAATTACTGAGATTGATAGTCGGCCCGAGTATATCTTTGCGTTTTAGCCTCTAGGACATTTACAAACTGCCAAAAGAATTATGCAGAAAATGCAAGAGATATCAAAGTCCCTATCGCAACCCTCTGCCAACAAAATCCTTACATATAAAGAGAAAATCCGTTACGGTTAACAAAATGAGAAACCGTTGCCAAGACGATGTACTGAATAAGATAACACGCTTTAAATGTGTTCAAGTATATAGCAATAATAATACATTTTAATGAGTATTACCAAAGACACGCTCATTTAGTCAAGTATCACTTAAGATTATATATAACAACAAATATCATAAATGAGCATTTGATTTCATATGTATTTGCGTTACTTAACACTTAATGATGTAAATACTATTTTAAAAAGTTGATAAAATAAATGTTTAAGATTTTTGAGTAGATAAAAAGATCAATTCGTTTTAGATTGTATTTTAATTTTAGGAAAAAAAATTTTGGGTAGATGGAATAATTAGTAAGTGTAATGTCAAAGTATCATACAATCTATAAAACAAATTGTAAATTTAAAATAAATTTTTATTTTATGAATAATTTTGTTGTTTTGAGAATATCATTAGAGTGGTCAAGAAATGTAAGCAAGTTTTATAAAGTCTTAACTATTTCAAAATTCAATGTAAACATTGTTTGATCACAGTCGTTTTTTGTTTTGCTCATTATGACAATAAATTCGGCTTATTTATAAGGTAATATAGGTAAAAGTGTAAAAGTATTTAAATAATTATAATAATAGATAAACGAATAAGTAAACAGTCAAAATACATAAAAAAAAAAATAATATAATATATTACTAGGTGATACCGTGCATTTCGTTGCACGTAAAGAAAGATACCACTTTAATAATAACCATCACATAATTACTTAATTATAGCTACTTAAGTTAATACAATAACTATAGCAATGTTACCCCGTATCTTCAGAGACAACGTTTTACAAATTATTTTCTATTTTGTACTGATTTTATTTTATTGTACAGATAGTGCCACCAGTTTATTCCTTTTATCCCTCATCATTCCTCTGACAGAAGGTGGGTCCATAAGACTGTGCTTTAAACTTGCTCTGCAAAGTACTCAATTATTCAAAAAAAACCTCATGGCTATCAAATGAGCGGTTTCAGAAAACATGAGTGATAAAATTTTCATTTACACATTTTATATATATTCCTAGATTATAACAGTAGCTTTGTAATGTAATACATTACCATTGGCTACCATTTAAATTAAACAAAAAGAATATTATTTTTTTGTGGGCTGAAAAAAAATAAATTTATGAGTTACCTTTTAGTTACTTATGGAATTGAAATTAAGCCTTAAACTTGCTTCGCGTCTTTCATTAAAAAAAAATCAAAATAATCGAATGAGTAGTTTCAGGAAACACGCTTGAACAAAATTTCCATTTTCACATTTATATATTAGATTATATAAATAGATACACTTATGTTATACATATGAAAGTGGTAAAACAAAGAAGGGTTTTAATAATTAATTAATTGAAAAAAATTTTATTTTTAAAAGTTGTTATTTAAAATCTGTAAGCTATTTAGTTATTGAGTTTCTTCCTTAAATTTCTGATTTTACAAAGTGATGAACACTTATTGTATTATTATCACTTTGGTTGTAATATTTTTGTAAAATTCGGCTAGAGGCAGATTATATTTTATATTAATCCGTAAGATCGATTTGATATTTATTGAAAATAACACATATTAATTAAATGACTAAAAACGTGTTTGAATATTCTTTAATATGATCATTTCTTCACTATTTTAGTGTAAATCATCGTCATCTGTGAATTGATTTTTGTGTTTTAAACTTGATCGCATTTAATGACATTGAAATATCATCACGTTTGGTTATTTCAAAAATATTTTTACCCGTTTCAACTAAATGGATATTTATTTTACTGTTCAGTGTTCATACTTTGTGTATGTATTTCGTATTCACAACATATTCAATTATTGTTCTTTTTCTGTGCATAGTGACAAAGTTTTCGATATCGTGAACGAAAAATAATACAAACGGTGAGCAAAATAAATTGAAATCCAGCGGTGGACGATAGGTTGGCAGTGGTATACAGTATCTGGCATCTGCTACCGGCCATGGAGGCATGTGGGGCGTAAGAATGTGATCCACGATTCGTGCGTTGGGAGGGTGGTGGAGGGAGCCTAGTTTTTGGGTTTTCGTTCAATAATAGTAGTAGGTATCTAATAAGAACAACTCAACACAATCGTCCAAACTCCAAATACAACTTACTGATGTTAGATATTATGATTTCATATTGGTACAGCTTGTGTCGTCAATTTATTGTCCTCATCATCATCATCATCATTATCATCATCTTCGTCGTCGTACTACCACAATCATATTGTAGGTACAG